ACAGCACCTTGAGGGACACCAGCTTCAGTAGGCAATGAAGTGGAAGACTTCCCTTTATATACGGTGTACTGCTTTCTATCTGAGAAATAGGAATGTAACCAGTTAACAGCCCAACATTCTGTTTGACTAGCAGCAAGTTTATTTAATAAGATGTCCCTAGGGACCGAGTCGAAAGCAGATGTATAGTCTAGGAAGGCACAACGAACAAATTTAGCCCCCTTGTCTAGACTGGAAGCAATGTTATGATATAAGACGGCAGCTGCATCTAAAGTGCTTCTACTGTGCTTATAGGCGAATTGTTTAGGGTCATTAAAGGATTTAAGCGAAGGTACAAGACTAAGTAAAAGTAATTTCTCCATAGTTTTCAAAAAAGGAGAGGTAATAGCAATGGGTCTAAATTTGACACATGCTCCAGTAGATGATTTAGGTATGGGTACAACTTTAATGTCCTTCCAAACGGCAGGCACAATATTATCGGAAAAAGATTTGTTAAATAGATCAGTAAGAGGGTGACACAGAATATCAGAACATTTTTTAAAAATAATACTAGGTACATAATCGGGACCTAAGCTCTGGGAAGGGTTTAGAGACTTGAGGCACTTTTGAACATCATTTGTGTTAAAACCTGGAAAGGGGCTATTATTAACACAAGTGATGCTGGGAAGCATGGCATTTGAGGGAGAGTAAATAAAAGATTTGTTAAGAGTACATACATCAAAAGAATATGGAATATTGTTTATCTGCTTACCACCAGTGATTTCCTTAAATAGTTTCCACATATTAGAAGGATTTTTGCGGGTTATGAATTTCTGGTTATATATCTTTGCATATCTTTACTTTCTCACTTCTAAAACCCCGCTGGAATGTTTTTGCTTATCCGTGTGGTTGTATACGAGTTCCTCACACAGCTGAATAACGATTTTTTATTTTCCTTACTTTACCAGTGGAACATAGGGCCTCAAGCTAGTGGCTTGAAGTTTCTGTAGCAGTGTTTATTTTTACAGGATGAGGTTGCTAGCCCCATGCCCAATCGTTTCTCTTTACCAGCATTATTTCTGGTTTAGCGAGGTAAAGGAGTTCGTCGGCCGGGGATCGAACCCCGGACCATATGCATGGTCGGTGAGCGTCCTAACCGCTGTACCACCGACGCACAGCTGAATAATATTAATGATATTTTTCTACTGATTCTTGCTAACAAAACCTAGCTTCAATAATCACCCAATAGAATAGTCGTCACTAACAATATCGGTGTTATTAAATACTATCGGTTTGTTAAGTAACCACAATGGAATTACAGTTCAAGGAAAGAAGCATAAATTACAATTAGCATAAAAATGTAATAGCAAATAGAACATCAAATAAAATTAAGGAAATTTTCACAACAAATTGAGGATCATTAAAACTATGATAACCAAGGTAAGGACAGTGTCTGAACCAACTTTTTGTTTTAGATACACAAGTTAGTTTTCTTAATGTGGATTCCAGTGGCCAGCCTCAACAATATATGGCAGACGAACTCATAAGGTGAAGTTAAGATTAGTTGATATTTAGTAAATGACTTTGGAAGCCTGATCAACATTAATCTTCTGTTCTGTATCCACAAGATGAAATAAAATAGTGATATGAATGAACTTTGTTTGTCCTTTACTTAACCACACACAGGATGGTGTTTGCAAACCCGACGAAAAAAGTCGCCTAATTGTACGACTTATGTAACTGGCTCCACAGGAGTAGTCAAATCAGTAGATTCACATAGAAGAGGCAAATTTGGACACTTCACCTTTAATTCCCGAAAGCGAAATAGGTATGGTTTTGAAGACACAGACTACTTCAGAACCACTGAATGCTCTTTTTGCCACTATTATTCCTTAGGCGTTGTATCAATATCTCTCTAGTGTTATCCTCGAGGAAATGAAGCTGAAAGAATAAGACCTTTTTCGGAGCTGTTAGCACTTTGGTCTACCTCGAATTTTGATTCATATTCTTATCGATGAATGCTTCAGGGTAACCGTTTTCACTCAGCAACTGTTCAATGATGTTAAGCTCTTCATTAAGACATTCATTAGAACATATTGTTCTTGCCCTGTAGACTAAGTACTTTATTAGACTGCTTTTGCATTTCAAAGACATGAAACTTAAAAAATGCGTATACTGAACACTTGATGTAGGTTTTCAATGATATTAGATTGTTGGAAGAAGCCGGCTGCAGGAAGCTTAGCCAGCTGGCCTAGGTTTCATGCTAGTCGGCACTCACGAGTCAGCACGGCGTATCTGCATTCCTGAAGGGACTCATGTCCCTTCTGAGATTCGAATCCGCATCACCCAGTGCTGCTTGCAGTCAGAGATGTTACCACTGAGCTATTCGGGCTCGTGATTGACCTCCTATAGGACTGTACGCTTCTTTTTATTGTAGCGCTCACTTTTCTAATCATAATTACGTTTACTGGCAGTAAACGTACTACATAGAATGTACACCTATAAACCATTAGTCTAGTTAGTTTTGTCACTGTTGTTATTGTTATTATCATTATGATTACTTTTCTCTGAATAGGACCTCCCACACAGTTGTCTCTATATTTAGTTCACTGAAATCAAATAGGCGTTAAATATCCGATATGTATGGATATATGCATATATATATGCATCTTTTTTCTCCAAATTTTCATTCCAATCTGATATCATATAAGGGGAAAAAAGTGAATTAAAATTTGGAAATCGTGAATTATTTTTATACATGATAAATATTAAAATAAAATTCCCTGCATAAATTTATTCAACCAAGTGAACGAAGAAAAGTCCTTTTATCCCTACATCAGGACATATAGATTTCAGTCACACTGTATTCATGTATCTATCCCTGTATGGTCTTTTCAATGAAATTCTATCACTAGTATGTACAGTGTAATCAAGCATTAAATTGTATTAAACAATAATAATAACAATACGAGTAATAATAAAACTATGCCCTGAAATAATACCAACATAGTTCAGAGACATGAAGTGTATTGAAAAACGCATTTCTAGCAGGCTGCAGACTTTTACCATACAACTGCCTTTCGCTAACTGGACACTAAAGATTAAATGGTCGGCTAAAAAGAATAAACGACAAGCAACTCTGATAGCTAACCAACCAAGGGACTTATCTAACCAACAAATATGCGAATAGGAAGGGTGATGAATCGAATACACGTTGAGGAAACTGTTAAGTGACACCATGTGCTAGGCTCTTGAAAACAGCTCCATTGGGAAACAACTGGTTGGGTATTAGTCCAACGGTGACACGGAGGTGATTGCGTGTAAAGGAAATGAAGGCTTATGGATAGTCGTGGAGCCAGATATAAAAAAAGGCTTCAGAGAACATCGTGAGTGGGGATGGACCCTATGTTCCACTCAGAACTTAAGTAAATAATAGTAATAGTTGGGGTCGCGCTAAATCACGAATTAGTAGAAGTTAGAATTCACGAGCCATTGAATCGGGTCCCAGTGGCTGAATGGTATACGAGCTTACCTTGTAACCGGAAGGTCCCGGGTTCGAATCCCAGTGGGTGCGTACTGCCGATGATTCCCAAACTAGGATAAAACAGCAGCTGTCCAGTACTCCCTGGTTTTCAATGGTTCTCTAACTGATATCAATCCGTGATCAACCGTAAAACATAACTAATCCTTACAAACCAAAACTATAGAAAGTAAATAATAAAAAGACAGTTGCAACGAAGAAAATTTTCTTCTCAACAAAGTCATTAACTAGGCTATACATTCATGTTTTCATAATAAATGGGTGAGAAAGTTCCAGAATGATTTCTGGTCAAGGGTCAAATTCATACAATTACAATTAGGAATTAAAATGCCATAATAAACATAGGGAGGGACGGATAGAACTCAAACAAAGTAGCAGCTTAATTACTGAGAAGATTGACATATTGTGCAGTTAGGGATTAGAAATGTAGAAATGAGAAAATAGACAGGAAGTTCTGATATGAAGATGTGCTAGTGTAAATAGAGATTAAGGAAAACTTAAAAATAACATGAGTGAACAGAAAGTTTGGATAGGAAATGTAATGGGATAGTCACTATTAAAAGAATAACCTGTTTATGATGGCTATGGTAGGGACAAGGGTTTAACGTATTTCTTTTAGATACATAACGTGGGTTTGAAGTTTTGGGTGGCTAATACCTCGGCTATGCCCAGTTATCTTGATTTTACTCCAGTTGATATGTATGATCGAATCTCGAATATGATTCTGAAGAATTTGTCGAATGGCATTGAATCTCCTCAGTTGACCTAATGTTCTGTCATTGAACTATATACATGTTTTCGTTCTACTTTTAATAGCCAGGCTGGATAGTGCTCACGAGTGCGTTTCGCAATTCGGCACATGGTACGGTTGATGTACTCAGCTCCTCACAAGCAAGTAAACTGGTAGATTTGAATAAATGGTCGGCTAAAAAGAATAAACGGCCAGCAACTCTGATAGCTAACCAAATTCAAATTCATCATGGGGAATAAATGCATGAGCTTGTGGATGTACATTGAAGTGGCCTAATGCGACAGCTTGTCTTAAGCGTTCTGGTTGAACAGTTTCTTGCAGGAAAACACCAGTCTTAGGCTCGCGGCGAAATATATTTTCCTCAGAGATTTGGAGAGGCGCTTCCGAAAAATTTCTGCTTCGATGTCACCTTTGAATTCTAGATTAAGCAGAGGCATCTTCTTCGGGACGGATTGAACTTGTTCAGAAGTTTTCTTTAATTTTAGATTCTTATCTATGCACCTAGGCGGAAAACCGTTTCCTATCAAAGTTCTTCTGAGATTACGCAGTTCTTCGTCATTCACTTAATAATATTAGTAATAATAGCTAATATCTACATTTTCGCGTTGTTCATGTGTTCATAATTGCATGTGGACGTTGAAGATGGATATCTAAGTCCCCCTTTGCTTTTAAATTGTTGATATTTCATCATCTTTTATGACTTTATTAATACCGTTTCTTTTTCTTCCATAGAGCAATGTTACAAAGACTTGAACGTTTAAAACAAACAACTGGAGGTAAACCAAATGAAGAATGTGCACTATGCAGAAAAGAATTTGGACATTTAAGTAATTTACCAATAGTTTGTATGGAATGCGGTCGATGTGTATGTACAGCATGCTGTGTAGAAGTGACTATTTCATCTCTTTGTCGACAACCTGTAACAAAACGTAATTCCCTACTCAACTTTCAATGGATATCAAATATGCATGGTAGTGGTAGTCTAGCTGGGACACCTCAACATCAAACGTATTATCCAATGAATAAAAGTCAGGCGAATGGAGGTACAACATCCAGCAGTCTAACGAATACAACAAAGATGATAACAACAGCAACAGCAACGTCGGATACAAATAAACATAGATTTTTGAATCGTCGTAGTAGCCTTATTGGTACATTGAATTCTGCTGCGTTACACAGTCAACAATTTCTAGAAAAAGTTAGAGTTAAAACAAATTCACGTCAAGGTGATAGTCATTCATTCGTTTGTAAAATATGCTATGAAGCCAGAGAAGTATGTTTCTAATCAACTATTTTCTTATATTTGTAAATATTTGGTTTTCTAAAACATTTCTGTGTATTTCTTGAAAGTATAACTTGTCTGAAAAGAGCTTAAATTTAAAATAGAAAGAGGAATTTTTTATACCAATGTAATTTTCAGGGCGTCGGTGACACAGCAGTTAGGACGCTCGCCGACCATACACATGGTCCGGGGTTCGATCCCCGGCCGACGAACTCCTTTACCTCGCTAAACCAGAAATAATGCTGGTAAAGAGGAAAGGTTGAGCATGAGGCTAGCAACCTCATCCTGTAAAAATAAACACTGCTGCAGAAACTTCAAGCCACTAGCTTGAAGCCCTATGTTCCACTGAGAATGTGAAGGAAAAATTATTATTAATGTAATTTTTACCTTAATTGTGTATATTGAAGAATTAGTTAATAGGGTTCTGATTCGTTTCAAGTATAGTCACACGAATTGATATCAGTTAGAGAACCATTAGTAACCAGAGAGTACTGGACAATGCTTTCGTCCTAGTTTGGGACCTAGTCAGGACCCCTCCATTAGAGTTCGAACACATGATTTTCCGGTTTCAAGGCAAACTTGTAAACCATTCTACCACTGGGACACAACTTAATGGCGCGTGAATTCTGGGTCCTGTTTCCGGTAGTTGCATGCTACAGATGAGTCCCAAACTTTGGACGAATCATCTGTCCAGTACTATATGATTCTCAGTGGTTCTCGAACTGATGCATTGCGTGTTGAAGCTTGAAATTGTATACGTGGCTAAGTTTTGATGTTTTTTGAATTTGAATCTTCAAGTATCGGTTTTGTAGGGATTTTGTCTGATTGCATGGAGGATTTCACCGTGAGCTGACATCAGTTAGAGAACCTCTGAAAAACCTGGAAGTACTGGACACCTGTTTCGTCCCAGTGGCCTAATGGTCTACGGGATCGCTAGCCTTGTAACCAGGAGGTCCTGGTTTCGAACCCCGGTGGGTGCGTACTGATAAAGAGTCCCAAACTAGGACGAAACAGCTGTTCAGTACACCCAGGTTTTCCAGTGGTTCTCTAACTGATGTCACCTCACGATGAAATCCTCCATGCAATGATTGAATCAGAGTGAGCTTAGCCCTGATGAAGCCTTCTCGGAAAATAACCAGAGCTCCATAGTTAAATCATTCAGCTTACACACGTCAGAGGCACCAAAAAACTCTTTTAAGTAGTAAATGTTCCCCAGCAATCAGATAGTTTGTTTCATTGGCTGTATTATTAATTTTAGGCGATTTAGGACAAACTATGAAAACATCAGCTAAATTCGGATCCATAGTACTGCATTTCTCAATTATATTGATTTGGTTTTATAAAATGTTGCTGAAACGAAACGGAATAACTTCAGTGGCCATGGGCAGGAAGCACTTTTCGCCTTCAGAAATATAATTGTTTCAGTTGATAGTCCCCGAGAAGTACTTAAGAACACCTGGAAGGAAGATGTAATGTTTCTAATAGTAATTCAGCACACTCTGTTCTATACCTCACGTCACATTTATGTATATTATGCATGAATATCGCGTAGCAGAATTTGTAATAAAGAATGAATTGTGCGCAGTAGTGTTATTCGGTGTTTGGAGGCAATCGATGAGCATCCTTTGACTTAGATTTCGTGCTTAGTGGCAATCATCAGCAAGGAGTATCTGTAGTCTTGAAAGAACTTGTGCCACAGTAAGAATAAGCAAGCACCTTAAACACCTGTTGATATCCCTGAAGTTTTCATTAAATTACAACAAATTAAGCAATTGAAGGTGATATTATTGAATATTTTATCAGGAGTGGGAACCTACTAGTTAGTAGTATTATCCAAAGTTTTTAAATTTGGAAGGATATCTGAAGCTCGTTTGAATCTGATCTGGATAGTTTAACTGTAAATCTGTTGTTCTCCTCATACAAAGCATCTTTAGGGTCAAGTTTTAAAGTAAGTTCACCTCTTTTACTTCAGAATTAATTCTAAATTTTTCTTTTTTTTTTTAAATAATTCTCACAGATTTGGAAACGGTCTGGAGCATGGTTTTATAAAAGTCTACCACGTCGTCAAATGATCAGTTGTCCATCAAGTCCTTCTTCAACGCCGATTTATAATGATTGTCAAACGCTGAATGATCTGACAGATCTTGTTAAACCGATTAAAACAAATTTTGATTATGCAAGTAATTCTGATCATACTGATAATGATTCAGAACAATGGATACAATTGAAACCTAACAGTAAGTTTAAGTATTTATCTGTGTACACTGTATATTCAGCGAATATCTCCATCCGTTACTTTATTCATTAAACCACTCTATACACTGTTCTTTGCGTTCCAAGTAGAACAAATATCCTCAGGGGCACATCTATATTGCACTAGGTTCACTAGAAACCACTTTCATTTGGCCTTATAATTATGCGCGAGCTTCCTTTTCCACCTTTCTATGACGTTCTCCATGTCACTCTGTGACCCATGCCTAGCCTGTCGATTCCCATTAGGATCCCACTCGAAGGTCTGTAGTATTATGTCAATTGAAGGTGATCTCCCCAGGATATCTCCAATCGATCTCCATTTCTTTGTGCATATTTGTTTGGTAGTAGGTTCTTAGCTGTATAATAACAAACTTTATTAGTCTAAATCTCTTCACGCATTTGATTATAACGAACGCAAGAGATATAAAAACGAGAATATGTAACTTGATCTTCATGAACAAAGTATTAACTCATTGTGATACTTACTGGACAATCGTATAAATCAGTATGATTGTTAAGAAACTCTATCCCGTGAGGAACTTAAAACACTGAGTGTTAATATTTCTATTAATAATAATATTAATGTGAAATCTGATAAAATACTTATGATTATAATCACTGATTGATATCAGTTAAAGAACCATTGAAAACCAGCAGAGAGTACTGGACGCCTGTTTCGTCCTAGTTTTTGACTCATTGGGGCTCGAAAACAGGACCTTGCAGGTAGAAGTCAAGCTCGTAGATCATTCGGTCACCGGGACTCGACTCAGTTGCTCATGAATTCTAACTTATAAAAAATTTGTGATTTTAGCCCGATCACCAGGTAATGTTGTCGGCGAGTATATGTCGTAACACCTTTCAATCTAGTTGCTCCTACTTTTCATGACCTCTGACTAGAATTCCGGCCGACTTCATCTTTTAGGCAGTCACTAGCAGAGATCAGATGAATTTCCAAAGGCTGGTTTGTAGGAATTTGACTTGTTTCAGGTTTGGCTATTGTCCAACATTGCAAAAAGGAATACAGTGAATTTAAATAATAAACATGATACAAGAAATAATACTAGATTCCTGTTCAAGATGAAAATAACAATCATATAAATTTTATTATATTATTGTCTCCTTTAGTTCCTAGAGAAAAATAGGGCTTCATCCATACGTCTCCACTGCTTTCGGTTTTCCACCAACGTTTTCACCAGACTTCGCGTCTGCCAACATGCTTCCATCACCTCTTCACATGACCTCCTCTTCCATGTCACCCTCGCACTGATGACCAACTTACCGCTTCCCGTTCAGGTTCCACTCTAGCAATGACCTGGCGTGTGAAGTCACTTGATGGTTTGTTTTCTCAGAGGATGACCAATCGACCTCTATTTTATCCTGCATATTTTTCGCACAGTTATTTCCCGGCTAGCTCCTTCATTGTCAGATATCCCTGTTACTGGTCTTCTGTGGCCATCTGGTCCTGAGTACTGAGTGAAGGCAGCTGTTGATGAAAGTCTGTAGTATGTTCGAAGTGTCATTCATGACGCGGCGCCAAGACTCCGGTCCGTATAGTAAGTGGCTCTGACTTCATTTTGGAGCTGAAAGTCCGAATCTTATTTTCCATACTGAGTGCTGTTGATCCCCACACAGACTTGATAGCAATCGTAATAATAAGAAGAAGGTACACAGTTTAAATAAGCAAAATGAAATACAAATAAATAGTTTTTTATTATTATTCTTATTTTTTATCATTTTTGATTACAGCTTGATTCCACACTGTATTTTTGGTACAAATATGGAATTTTCAGCATGGATATCAATAGCCCAAATTTTGCAGACCGACCATTGATATCAGCCGTGCGTCGGCAGGGGATCGAAACTTGGACCATGTGCATGGTCGGCGAGACTCCTAACCACTGTGCCACCTACAAGGTAGAAATGAGGACTGTGGACACTCCTTCTGTACACCATAGTCTCGTTTCAATTTAAGAATAGTCAAGGCTTCAATGTCTTTAGCAATTTGAAACGGGACAAGTTTGTATGAAATCGATAAAGTTAAGGTTGGCTAAAAGACAGCTATGGATCAAGTGTCCTAGAATAGAGCTTCTCACACTAATCCTTACTCCCTTATCAAAAACTATGCTGGAATACGCTTTCATATCCTTGTGGAAAGTCACTATGATGATGGTTTTCTTTAAAATTCAGATAGTTATGGGTTTTCTTGCATTTTATTCTGTAAGTCGGTTTAAGTAACCGTTTTCAGCAGGTATGACTCTTCGGGAAAAAACAGTTTCCACATCAATGCAGTCAGAATTACAAATTTTCCCCATCATGGTTTAATGGTTGATATAAAAACTGTGATTATAATCACAAATAGTTTTTACTTATTCACATTATTACACATAATAGCCTTTGTTTAATTTTACTCATATGGTATAGTTTTTTGAATGTCATATATATATTGAAAAAAGTTAATGAATGGAACCACAGATTTTAAAAAATCGGCAATGGTCTTAATGCTTAAATCACATGAAATTATGAGGTGTGAAAAGCACTGATTATTTACAAGACGATTTAGATGGATATTCTTGAAGAAAAGAGTGGAATTCAAAATTTAATGAGATAACAGATCACATGACTCTATAAATAATCTTTTTACAATAGCAGAAAGAGCAAAATAAGCCACATTTATAGATGTGAAGTGGAATTTTATGCAGAACACGAGATATAGAAGGATAAATGACACAAAAGAAAAGCATTTTACCATTTTAATCGAACCCATGCCACCCAGTGATACACTTCGAGACGTTACCACTTAGCTGTTAGGGCTTGCTATTCTCCTTCGGTAGGACTACTAGTTATTAACTAGTCTCTGAATGCAATACTGGGTCACACGGGTTTAACTCTCAGAAGGGACGTGAGTTTCTTCAAGGTTGCAGGTACGCTTTGATGACTGGTGAGTGCTATGAAACATGAAACCTAGGTTTCCTACGCATTGCATGCACCCATCTATTATCAAGAATAAGATAAAATATTGCAAGTAAACAACATTTATTGTTTACAACGAAATCTGTCTAGAAGTTTATTGACCCCATCCTCCAATTCACAACTTGGAAATTAATTCCTTTTTCATTGGTGACGGACTACACGATGAACTATCTGGAGTCATGAGAAGTCATGACTGGTGGAGTTCCAGAAGTAGGAATAGTATTGGATAGCAGTATGGCTGCAAATAGAGAGTTAGAAGTTAGAATTCACAGTGAGTGAATGGCAAACGTACATGACTCGTAAACTGGAAGTCCCAGATTAGATCCACGGCGGCATCATCGCTGATCACTGTTAAGGATATGACTGTGAAGTACCTCCTTGTTCTCAGTGGTTCACGAAGAAATCTAATATGGAGTCCATTTACTCCCTGTAGCCGAACACTTGAAACGTTATTTTTGAGTAGCTGCCTACTTATGACCACTTAAAATCAAATTGAGATGCACCTTAATGGAAAGATCTTTGACTTGATGAACCTAGTGAAAACTTGATTGACGAAATTAAGTCATTTCTAAGGAATTAACTGGTTACTGTTGAGTGAATAATCTATCAGCGAATTCCAAATATGTTAACAAATAATCAGCTGGAGTGATTTTAAAACATTCTAATGATCTAAAAGGCAAAAAAGCTTTTTTATTCTTTCAAAAACAAGCCAGTCATCAAGGTGCTAAAGAATTTCTTTTGATAAAGCTGAGTCCTTTTCAATAATAATAGTGAACAGCACTTATAAATGTTGTCATTGTTCCGGTCAATTTAAACTGTCTAGTTTTGTTCATTTAAGTTCATTTACGTTCATTTATTGACTCCACCGCATCAGTTAGTGTTCATCTAAAACAAAGACCTACTTTTATCGGCAGACAGGTAAACTGCCATTTCTAATTCTTAGGAGATAATAAAAAGACAGTCGCAACGAAGAGAATTTTCTTTTCGACAAAGTCACCGTCAACTAGGCTGTACATTCATGTTTTTATAATAAATGGGCGGGAAAGTTCCAGAATGATTTCTGGTCAAGGGTCAAATTAATATAATTACATTTACGAATTAAAATGCAATTATAAACAGGGTGAGGGATGGAATAAACTCAAACAAACATAATTCCTGAGAAGATTGACATATTGTGCATTTAGGGATTAGAAATGTAGGAATGGCAAAATAGACAGGAAGTTCGGATATGAAAATTTGGTGTTTTAAATAAGGATTAAGAAAAACTAAAGAATAATATGAATAAACAGGAAGTTTGGATAGTAAAGGCAATGCGATAGTCACTATTAAAAGAATCACCTGTTTATGATTGTCATGGCAGGGACAAGGGTTGGGCGTATTTCTTTTGGATACATATAGTAGATTTGAGTTTTTGGATGCATGGTGCTTTGGCTATCCCCAGTTATCTTGATTTTACTCCATTTGATAGGTTCGATCGAATTTCATAGAAGACTTTGAAGGATTTCTCGAATGGTACTGAATGTCCTGAATTTACCAGATGCTCTGTCACTGAACTATATACACACACTTTTGTTCTATTTTTACAAGCCAGGCTGGATAGTGTTCACGAGTGCGTTTTTTTCAAGTTGGCGCATGTTACGACCGATGTACTCAGCTCCTCATGAGGAAGTAAACTGCTGGATGCACGTTGAAGTGTCCCAAAGCGGCAGCTTGTCCTTCGCGTTCTTGCTAAATAGTTTCTTGCAGCAAATGTCAGTGGTAGGTTTTCGACAAAGTATGTTTTCCTCAGAGATTTGCGAAGGCGTCTCCAAAGGATTTCGGCTTCAATTTCACCTTTGAATTCTAAATTATTCTAGAACTTTCCATCTCATTTATTATAAATACACGAATGTACAGCCTAGTTGATGACTTCGTAGAAAAGAAAATTTTCAATTTTAACATGCTAAGTTGACTGTCATTAATTAGAAAGTGCACCAAAGTGGTTATCTTCCCAGTTTCTAACTTTGATTATAAATATGATGGACGAAACCGAATGATTAGTCCACACGAAAGCGGTTAATCTTATTGTATCTGACTTATTTCTTTGAAAATCTTATTTGTGATTCGAAAATCTCAGTGAATTCTCACTTCAACAACAGCTGTATGATGTTCAGAAGTGAAGCAGCAGAAGTAAAAGGACTACCAATGACCTATAGACAGCAGATAAGTGTCAGTGACTAGTATCGTCAATATATTATTGAATTGAATTTTTGATTTTCCCATCGATTGACTCGACCAAAGTGCTCGGTCTCAGGTTGACATGTCGGCTTCTTGTGCAGATGCTTTGACGATGTCGGGGATTGGATTTGTATACAATTGGTGGAAGGTGGCTAGCAGTGGAATCCAGGATGCGCATTTCGTCCTATTTGGGACCCGTCAGCTGGATGTACCTGCATTTCTCAGTGGCCCAAGTGGTCTAGTAGATAACGCTTTGGCGTTTGAAACTATGGGCACTGGGTTCGAGCCCCGGTGGGAACATCGTCACTCACTGAGAAATGCAGGTACATCCAGCTGGTGGATGAGTTCCAAATAGGACGAAATGCGCCTTGTCCTGGATTCCACTGCTAACCGCCATCCACCAATTGTATACATATCGTCAATATATCTTTATGAAAATAAAGTTAGATGTGAGCTTATCCTAATCACTTCAAGACATATTCTCGAAGACCTTTGTGCAGCTAAACTGATTGGGTTTTTTTTCATTCGCTTTAACATTCTTTCAATTTATATATGAATAAGCAGGCGGAGATGAGATTCCTAGTTTATTCACTCTTCTAACTAGACATACATTTCCTGAATTATATATATTCGTAACTATCCCATCTTTTCATATCGACCTAATTAATCATCATCACAAGACGCGCTAATTATCTAAACAAAATAACTCCGATAAGGTTAATTACAAGAAAAGAACGCCAAATATAATAACTGGGTGAAATCAATGCTATAACCTAACTGTAAACTTATTATCTATGCGTGATTAAATCGAATTTCGTTTACATTTAAGGTCATGATTAAAGGAGACAATCTGATGAGTGGATGTTGAACTATGAAAACAAAAACAACAGAAATTATCCCTTCTTCTGAGATATGATAATTTTTTTATTTTTTTATTTTTTTTTATTTTTTTATTTTATTTTTTTTATTTTATTTTTCTTCTGAGATATGATAATACTTTCCACCATCTAAATAAACAAATGTCTCAGTTGCATACAGTGTTTCATTATATCATATTGTATACACATTGACAATTTAACTTAATAATTATAATAACCTTGTGTCATCTGGAGGGCTGTTTGAAATCAAATAAAAAATCAGCCTCAATTTATATATGTATATATATATATATATATATATATATATATATAAATCATCTTCAATATTTCCTCCTCAGTTCATAAACTATTTTGATAAGTGGTTAATTACTCACAAAATCACACAGTGTAAACACAGTCACCTATTAACAATAGTTGGTACAAAACTGCAAAAGATATGGCTCTTATCCAGGTAAAGCGTCAAGCGTACTACAGAAGCACTTTATTATTATTCCCTTGAGTTACGAGTAGGACATAGGGCTTCACCAACACATATCCACTTTGTTCTGTTGCCTGCTGTCCACTTAATCTGGCTAGCCCCACAACTTCCCATTATCTTTCTCCTCCATGTCAAACTGGCACTAACTCACTCGTCAGTTCCCATTTCAGACCACTCGAAGGATGGCCTGCATTGAACGCGATGTCATTGGAAGGCGTCTTCAGCCAGCGTAATCCCGATCCATCTCCACTTTCTGCTACATATTCGTCCGTTGAACGATTGGCTGTCGCCTGTTGGTTTTGTTCCCAGCCAGAGTTTCTTGTTACTAATTCTTTCTGGTCTGCCGACTTGTCATTTTATCATTAGTATGGAGCCAGCTAGCGAAGTGGGCAGCTGTTGATAAAAGTCTGTAGCAGCTTGTTGGAAATCCTTTTCGTGCCTGACACACAGTGCAAGTTTCTGACGCGTATAGAAGTGACTGACTGACCGACTTCACATTTGTGGCGAACAGAATCAGGATCTTGTTGTTTACGCTGGTTGGCTGGCTGGGTGAGTGAAGAAGATTTCCAAACTACTTTCAGGTTGATGAAGGCGTACCTTGTGTGTCTTTTCGATTCTGACTGATCGAATGGCAGGGTTTGACATCTCCACCCGTGTTGTCCGACTGCCTGTGTTTGAAAGCGTACTCCCTAGCTGGATAACTGAAGGAAGTAACCACTTTCAACCTCTCTTTCCCGTTGATGGTCAGTGATTGATGCTGGTTGTTGCTGTTGTGGGTTAGTTGTCACTACAGAAACACAGGGACAAAAAACTTTGGATGTACATAGGTTATTAGATTCTATTTGTTTGATGCTATCGAACTTATTCCAATGTAACCGATGTGTGTCTTTAAGTTTCTGCAGAGCACTGTAGCCTATATATTAATTAGTCCATGTAACTGAAATCTGAGACTACACATAAACACACAACTTAGCACCAGAATACCACATTCTTTTCCCAACACAACGACGAGATATAGACATTAGAAGCAAGTGAAATGTCAAAGACATGTATTTAGAAAGGATGAGAAAAGTATTTAAAAAGTTCATTGATTAACAATACATCTCGGATAACTCAGGTCTGATAATATGGCCGACCAAATGCTTTCAGTGTACTTCATCTCTTTCCTATCCAAATCCATTATGGCTAAGAGATACATGGAGTAAAAATTGTTAACATACGAATGAAGACCCTTCGCCGTTTCCTGATTTCTGCCTTCAAGTGTGACAACTTCCATGTTAACGTTAGGTTTGACGATGAAGCAATCATTAAAAGAAAGCACATTTTAGTGGATATGATTTATATCAAGATAATTAGGGTTAGGATTTCAACTCGTGTGATAAAATTGTGACTGTGCGCTACTGAAAAGTCCCAGACTGGAACGAAATCATAGTTTTAAGTGGTTATCTGTCTGTATGACGTCAGTTCGTGATGAAATAGTCCACTTTCTGCAATGAATGATGAATGATTAGTCATGCTGTTATTGTTATTGTTGTGAACAGAATATGGTATTTTAATAATAATAAACCCTTTATTCCACACAAAAATTATAATCGAACCCCAGTGGATGAGTAATGCTGAACAGTCCCAAACTAGGACGAAACAGCTGTCTGGCAGTACTCCCAGGTTTTCCACTGGTTCTCTAACTGATGTCAGCTCATGCTGAAATCCTCTATGCAATCAAACAAAATCCTTACAAAACCAATACTTGAAAATTAATCTGATGCCCACTAGAGAGTGGTCTTATTCAGGGAGTTAACCCTGGGGTTCTTGTGGGAAGCCGTGACCAGTAAGGTACAGCAGGTCGAATATGAGACTGTAACTCATCAAAGAAAATATTGCGAAATGGTCACGCTATGTTGTGAATTGGCAAAAGTGGATCAATGGCCTACGAGATCGCCTTGAAACCAGAAGGTCCTGGTTTGAACCCCGATGGGTGCGTACTGGTGGAGAGTCCCAAACTAGGACGAAACAGCTGTCCGATTCTCCCAGGTTTTCCATTGTCCGCTCATGATGAAATCCTCCATGCAATCAAACAAAATCCCTACAAAACCAATACTTTGAATAGTAATCATACTACACATTGGGATTTTCAGCACTTTTATAAATAGTGCAAAAATTTAGCTCTTTTTCTAAATATGTACATACATAAAATTTAAAGTAGTAATAATAATATTAATAAGCAAACCCCCATTAAGCGAATGTTGGTGAAAGCATAAGCATAAATAGACAATATCACTGATAATACATGCTATAATAATAATAATCTTTGCTTATACCTTGCGGTTCAGTTATTGATTTAAAAGGTTTATAGGTTCTTTCCTGACACCTGACTCTCTTTTCAAACAGAGTTCGTCTTAAATATACTATGGTAGAATTTTTATATTCTGCTATAATATATTATATATATATAATATATAGCATAATATATATGTATATATTCTGCTATATTCCGTACTCCTTTACCTCGCTAAGCCAGAAAAAATGCTGCTAAGGAGGAAAGGTTGGGCATGGGGCTAGCAACCCCATGCTGGTAAAATAAATACTGCTACAGAAACCTTAAGCCACTAGCTTGAAGCCCTATTTTCCACTGGGAACGTGAAGGAAAAGTTGTTATTATTATTATTGTTAAAGGCTTATTGATTCCAAGAGTGTCATAAGATCCACACGATATGAATGCTAGACACATTTTGTCAAAGTTACAGCTGCATAATATAGAAGCAAATGCTGGTGGCAATTTTCCTCATTCCTTTGCGTTCCATTTGGCGCATTTGGGGTTTCAAGCTTGAATCTTGAAGGTTCTGTGGGCTTTTTTTTACGGGATAGCGTTACTGGCTTCACATCCCTCCTTACACAATTTACTGTCGGCTAAGTGAGGTGTAGGAATGCGTCGATCATCAGTGGAATCCTGACTACTTATCTAGGTTGCAACCGACAAGATAAATACTCAATCTGACATAATACTGGCTGAATAGTAATTTAAAGCAAATCGATTATCAACAATAATGGAACTGCTTTCCCATTTTAATTTCTAGTTGTTTTTCAAACACGTTTTTTGATTGATATCCATTTTTATCTCAAAGTCATAATGACGTGTTTTTTGTATTGCAGGAAGACCTTCAAAACCTGAAGGTTCTGAGTCTATCAGCCCTCCTATCTCTAGTACAAATAAAGAGTCATCTTCAAATGAAGGTAAGCAATATTTATAGCCACTAAGTTTGATTTTCTAATTTTTAATTGAACACTTGCAGTGCACCTAACGAATCCCTTTGATAAATACTTTATAATATTGCCTTTTGTAAATCAAAAACAATAAATACTTTGAGACGAATTGAATTTAGGTGCATTTTGTATTCTTGAGATCTTTTATAAATGCACTAAATTGAAAAAGGCCAACCTAAGGAATTGTTAGCATGGGCTGCGAACGCCCTAACGACCTTGAACCCGTAACATTCATTGTATTATTTAACCTGCCATTATTGCAGCTCAAGTATCAATGCTGGGCACGAACTGAGGTGAAAATTTCATCTTCATCTAGTTTTTAAATACTGTTTGGATAATGGCTTGATAGAATGTTACTATCAGAATCACTATTAAAGTTGTGGTTATGATGATTAGGGTTAAAATAAGGCTTGGGGTTAAAGTTAGGAATACGGTTAGAGAGTTTTGATGGTTATTATCTGTATTTTCCTTGTAGATAAATAAATAGGAAGGGAGTATTTCGTTGTTTACTTATATGATGATAGCTATGAAACGTGAAGACTGGTACCCTTCATTGTAACTGGGAAGTACAACAGTTTAAAATGTCGTCTTTCATGTGTTTCATCTTTACTGTTGTGTTAATTTTTATTTGATTAAGGATGCGCATTCGAAATTTCAAAAGATTGTTTATCAACAAAGAATATCTTTGATTGATGGATGGTGATTAGCAGTAAAATCGAGGACAACGCCATTTCATCCTATTTGGAACCTGTACCTGCATTTCTCAGTGAGTGATGATGTTTCCATCGAGGCTCGAACCCAGTGCCCATAGTTTCAAACGCCAAAGCGTTATCCACTAGACCGCTAGGGTCGCGAGAGCCCCTTATGCAACGGGTCATATTAATTATTTAATTCAATTACAGATTTTCCCTTCGACTGACTGGACCGAAGTGCTCGGTCCATTTCGGTCCAATCAATCGACGGGAAAATCTAAAATTCAGTTGAATTAAGATATTCTTATCGATAACTTCATCATTACGTTCTACAGTTATAAATCTATTATATTCACAGAAAAATTGCTGTTGACAAAATTAGTGTTTTTTAAGAGAGTAACATCGAATCATTTAGACAAGACTTACAAAAGTTATTCGTAAATAGATCGTTAATGGACTATAGTCCAAAATATATGTAATAAATAATAATATTTTTTTAATAATAATAGCTTTATTCCAAACGGTATTTGTGGTAGAGGTATGGAATTTTCAGCATCCATTACAATATATTGCATCTAATTACCTCATAAATTTTATAAGATTTTTAAAATCAAAAATAAGTAAATAAATAAAAACAAATAAAAATGAAATAAATAAATAATAAATAAAATAAATAAAAATAAAAAACAGCGTACAGCTTACATTTCAAACAATGCACCACAGGATATGAAATATAAAGTTGATGTGTGATAGAAGATGAGAACAACAGTGTAATAGTAACGAAGAAAGGAAAACAAAAACTAATGGGACTATTTGTTAGAGTGCCGCAGTAAGTTGATCCTGTCATACCTAACGGATTTCTCATCACATAACAGCTGTGCAAGATAAGGTATTATGGAGTTTTTGTACTTGGTAGTCCTAACATATAACCTCCTATAGCTGCTTCTAGTTCTACCAGATGAAATTTAAGGAGAGAACTGCGTATAGAGAGGATGCTCGGGGTCCGACAATATTATATTCGCTAGTTTCTTACATGATATTATATGTCTATCTACAATAGTGTTAACAAGTTGGTTTAACGATATCCCACTTGCCCTACTAACGGCTTTTAGTGCCCTTCTCAGCAAAGCAAAGTTTTTCTTAAGTAGTCTAGGAAAGATTAATGGGGAGCAGTAAAGGGGGATAGGTAGAATACAAGAATTTACAAACTGAGAAAGAAAAGACTGCCTTATTCCAGACTGCCTAAATTTCCTGATGTAGAACGTTAAGCAAAACATCTTTCTAGTAACTAGCAAGATGTGGGAAGACCAGGAAAGATCGGCAGAAAAACTCAGCCCAAGGTACTTCACACTAGATGTATTTTCAACCTCTGTGCCGTCAATGATAGTGGGGCCATGTGAGCTAACTAGTTGCTGTAAGTGTATGTGGTAATATGTAAAATTGTAATACTAAACTGAATATCAATATTACAAAGTAAGTGATCATGAATGACAACGAACGTGCAGTAATAAACTTTCATGAGTCATGTTCATATTGATTCTAAACCTTCAGATGGATGAGTGATCACTCAGTTTAAGATGTCATAAAGTTCTGTGACACAATCAACACACACACACAACAATGCATATTACACTAAACAAAGTGAAAAAGAATTTAAGGGTAATAAGAATTAGAGCAAGACATATAAACGAACAATACTGTTGTTTTCAGTTAAACCATCTTTAAGGCTTCACTCTAAATTACATAGATTTATATATAAAAATTTTAACTAATGGCGGTGAGTTTATGGATCAAATAATAATAATTATAATGTGTCAAATATTTCGAACGGTAGTAATATCGGTGATTATGATGATAACAAAATAGTGATAATAAGGTTTATGCATGTGGCGATAAGATTAACGAAGGTAGTGATATGTATATGTGAAGACATCCAATAAATACGTTGGGTCAAATCCTGAAAGTTACGTTATACTATGGATGAATTGGACAGATAATAAGAGTTTACCTAAACCAACAGGGGGAGGCAAAGGTAGAATAAACTTCTTTTGCATGCAAAGACTAGGACTGTTCTTTTGAATCAATTCCCATTGCTTCGGCTAAGTGTAAAAGGCGGGTTGGAATTCCGTTCGAAAGGTTCGTTGGAATGTAACAGATAACTTGGAAGACACTTTTCTGTCCACTTGATGATCGCTGTCAAACAAACTGAGTCAAAATAGGGCTTCTCATTGATTAGGCACTTTGACTTATGTGAAAATGGGCTAAATCCAATTTATCTAACTCACACCACCCTCTTCATTCCCATTCATTCCTTGTATCTCATCAGGCAGAACCAGAAGCCTATATAGGAAACTATATGCTCGTCCACCATACCCTACCTAGCTCTTGTTCTGTGCGATAAAGAAGGATTAGGCGTGATACCTATAACTTATTAAATAGTCAGTAGAACAATTGGATCTCGTCTTTCCAACTCATATCATTTATAGGTACAACGTTTTTCTTCCTTTCTTTTCATTTTCTCTCTCTCTCTCTTCTCTGTTATGTAATGCTTTGTTTCTTTCTTCCTTACAAACTCTATTAAAACATTCTTCGTTCTCTCATACTCTGTATATCTCGATCTATTGTTAACGCTTACGTCAGTAAATATGTTAGCATCTACTTTTCTAACATCTTCAAACACTCTGTTCAATTTCGGCTTTGCCACCGACATGCCAATATGTTGTTGTCATAATGAACTGAGATTACCTTAATCCATGTAGAACTTTATTTATTGTTAATGTACTAACTGGATGCGATACTGTAGTAAAATGCTGAGAATTCCATTCTGTATCACAAGTACTGCTTTGGAATAAAGCAAATTATTATTATTTAATCTTTTCCGAACTATAAAGGAAGGTGCTCATTAGTACGTTAGCTGAGCTGTCTATCTATTCGCACTATATGGCTTTCTCTGCAGGAACGGCTCAGCAGCTTGTATTTCTCTTGGGCAATCGTAACTGATCCGCTGAAAACTGACAAACAATGGATAGCCGCAGTATAAGTCCGTTTTATTGCTCTCGATAATTTCACATGTCGAACTTTACTAGCTAAGTTCCAGTTAATTTACAATTTTAGTAACAGTTGTTTCTTTTTAACTGTTTTCAGTTTCCCTTTATTATTAACGATAAGTTTAATAATATAGCCAGATAAGGGTTACCAAGGTAGGGTTAAGAACAATAATAACTCTCTTCGTACACATGGGTAGGCAGCTTAATTTTACGAATATCTATCGCCTCTGAGTATTTTAGTAAGCCCTACTGATTGTTTTTAGAAATAACACTAAAAGCTATTTGGTTGGTAGTCTCGCACCTACAAAAAATATTACTACCGATAAAGTCAAAAGATGAAAAATAACTGAAAATACTATGAAACCATTGAGATTTACCTCAAATCTTTTGAATTCAACTTATTCAGCTGTGTTATTCTACTGTAGTTTATTTAAACAAATTTAAAATTATCCGTTGAAAATTAGTTAGCCTAGTTGTTTTTCTGGTTGGAAACGCCTTGGTATTTGAAACGATGGACGTTAGGTTTGAGTTTCATTGGAGATACCGTCACTTAAAATGGTAACAGACAGATCCTGATGATGATCTGATTTGTTTCAAGTTTAATCATGGACTATTAACAGTTACAGAACCATTCAGAACTAGCAAAAAGCACCGGACAGCTGTTTCGTCCTATTTTGAGATTCATCGAGAGTACCCACCCACTAGGTCCCGAATATAGGACCCTCAGGTTACAAGGGGAGCTCTTACACCATTCAGCCACTGAGACGCGATCCAAAAGTCAGCCCATTAATCCCAACTTCTATAAATTCGTGAAATTAGCGTGACCAAGTGTCAATGTCATGGGAAAGTATTTATTCCTGCTTTCCTTTACCGGTGGGACGCCCCTGTTGACAACTCATTGCGTCGTCTTACTAGTCAACTTCGTTTGTTAGCCGGTCACTAGTGAGTACCAGATTAGTTACAGGATTTCATCGTGAGTCAACATTAGTTCGATAACCACTGGAAAACCTAGAAGTACTGCTAGATAGCTGTCTCGTCCTAGTTTGGGACTCTGCACCAGTACGCACCCACCATTGGAGTTCGAATCCAGGACCTTCGGTTACAAGGCGAGCTAGCTCGTAGACCATTAAGCCACTGGGACCCGATCCGGTGGCCAGTCCATGAATTCCAACTTCTGCGAATTCACGACATAGCGCGACCCCTAGCCAATATCTTTGGCGAGTATTTGTCCTCACACTCAACCTGCTGCACCCTAGTGGTCACTACTTTCAACTAGAACCCCAGGTAACTACCTACCTGAATAGGGCAAGTCGCTAGTGAGCTCGCACTGTGACCAGAAGGTCCTTGGTTCGAATCCCGGTGGGTGCGTACTGTGAAGAGTCCCAAACTCATAATGAAGTCCTGTAACCAATAAAATCCCTACAAACCAACACTTGAGTATCAAATTAATTCTCAAGTGTTAGTTTCCAGGGATTATTTAATCGTTTGATAATGAACCTCACCGATGAAAACATCCCATGGCTTTATTAACGAAAACATACGTGTTGTGTATGTTTATTGTCTCCTTACCACTTCGGAATTATTCTCATCAAAAAAACATCTAAATGAATATTCCTAAAATAATTATTTTTCTAATCTTCATATAAAAAAGGGAGTGAAACACATAAACCCTTGAACTAAACAAGCCATTTACTAATTATAATGAGTTCAGACAACCATTTTCACAGTGAAAATATATTTTGAGTAATAAATTAGCAGCTTTATTTAAAGCTCATTTTACAAAAAAGAGAAGTAGGTTAAGCCATCTAAGGAAGAAAACACACAGATTATGAAGAAACTTTAGTTCAGTTATAAACACCATCTCGTAACATTAATCACTCTCTAAAAAGTTATTTACCTGGTCGCCTAAAACTTGGTTGTTCACCTAAATGCAGTTTTCATGGATGACGGTGTTTATTCTAAGTTGATATGTTTTGAATGGAAAGTACCAGGTTACTAGTATCATGTCTCTAATCCTCTCTTTGGTGAAGACTGAATTTTATGAGTCAATTTGGCAATGTGGCCACCATTTTAGGTAACTCACCATCACAGGGGACTATGAATTGTTGTCATTAAATGGCTGGAGGCGATCAGTTGGAAGAATTGGACCTAGGTTTCGTGTTTGTAGGCACTCACCAGTCAGCAAGGCGTATCTGCTTTCCTGAAGGGACTCATGTCCCTTCAAACCTGTGTCACTCAGTCTTGCATTCAGGAACATTTTCATGATACTAGTTACTACTAACTAGTGTTCAACCAAAGTAACTAACATAGTCCTACAGGAGGTCAATCGTTAGTCCGAATGGCTCAGTGGTAACGTCTCTGACTGCAGCACTGGGTGAGACAGTTTCGAATCTCAGAAGGAACACAGGTTCCTTCTAGATTGTAGATACGCCTTTCTGACTGTTGAGTGCCAACTAGCACGAAACCTTCTCAATGCCCCCAACGATCTGATAACAACAATTCACAGTTTACCTTGGTGGCAAGCCAACCAGCACGGTCTAAGAGATCTATAAGAAGGAAATCTCATACACAAAGGGTCAAACTTTAGGTCAAGGGAACAATCAGTTCTAGTACAAGTAGCCCCCAGAGGGTGTGAAAACACACAAAAACAGCCAATCATGTTCAGTGTCGTCAAGAGAAATGACTTATAAACTCGTAGAGTTACCTAGGAGGTCACTTAAAATTGAAGTGTGCGCTGAAGATGTTACCTAGTAGGGAAATGATGGCTTCGCTAATAAATTATTCAGCTCAGACAATACAACTACAACAGAATTATTTAAGTCTACGTTTGCAGTATTTCTCAATGGAATCTCTGCAACTTTCACTGTTTGAAGATTTTGTTCTAAGTGACCATTGGAAAGCTATTAAAAACTCAATAGGCAGTGGAAACGAATAAAGTTATAATAATGTTATCAGATTATCATGGTAAGCAGTTATCAACTAATTTATTATCATCAAATCCGAATACTTTCAACACCAATGTTAAGTCAGTCAATCCTTCTATTTGAGTAGGAAACTCCGCGCCAAACGAAAAGCATTTTCAACAGCCACCTGGAGACTTTTATCAACAGCTGCTTTCACTTGTCCCACACTGAAGATCAAATGGCCGGTTGGAAAGAATTATTAACATGAAACTTTTGGGACGAACCAGTCAGAACCTGTTTCCCAACAAATATTCTTAAGTAAAATGAAACGGATCGGACACATGTTCAAGAGACCTTTGGATGACATCATACGCTAGGCCATCGGTCGAGTGAAAACTTAGTGGGAAACGATGAGCTGGATATGAGTGAGAGGGTGAAACTGGGGAGATTGTGTGACGGGTAGATGAAAGGTTATGGTCAGTCATGGGGCCGTCTAAAGATGACTGCAGAAAACAGAAAAAAGTGGATTTGTACTGATAAAGCCCTATTTTTTCAACTGAAACCGAAGGAAACAATAATAAATCTCAATAACCCTGTGGTAAAGTCCCAGATGACATCACTGAGCGATGCAAATCTAATTCTTAGTGACGGTATCATTTTTGTCGAGGTTTCAGATACACTTTTCTGAGAACTGAATACTGGATCTTTGCTGTCTTGTTCCAAAAATGTAATTCACCTAAAGTGTTGAGTGTTTTGAGAGACGGAAAAATTTTACTCCTAATATCACATGATTCATTACTTAATATTTTACTTGCGCATAACAGCTTACTTTAGAATAGATACATTCATTTAACTCCATGATTATTAACGTATGGTGATTCACGATAAAACTTCCTCCAAGTATTAGCTTGCAGGGATTTGATTGATCGGTTGCAAGATTTCATAATGAGCTGATATCAGTTAAAGGACCATTGGAAAACCTGAAAGTACTACCAGACAGCTGTTTCGTCAACCTAGTTCGGGACTCTTCAGTAGTACGCACCCACAGGGGTTCAAACACAGGACCTTCTGGTTAAAAGGTGAGCTTGTAAGTCATTGGATCGGGTCCCAGTGGCTTAATGGTCCACAAAATAGCTCGCCTTGTAACTATGAGGTCCTGGGTTTAAACCTCGGTGGATGCGTACTGACGTAGAGTCCCAAACTAGAACGAGATAGCTGTCTAGCAGTGCTCCCAGGTTTTCCGATGTTTCTCTAACCGGTGTCATGATGAAATCCTGTTACAACTTACTGCATCAGAAGGTTTCCTTATATGAACACATGTAAAGTGAGAAGGAGGCAGATATTTCTATAAAGAGGTGCCATTGTCAGTCTTCCGTATAGTCATTTTTGAAATGCCCTTTAAAGTGTTAACCATATAGAATAAAATATACTAACTACTGTTAAGTCATAATTAGTAGAATCTTTAAAATATTATACTCGTATAATAAACACATAATTGTCTTCTTTTTTATTTTGTGGTTTATTAGCTATTTCCACCACAAAAGTACGCAGTGTAGCTAAAGAATTTCCGAAATCCCCAGAACATTCTACTCAGAATATCACCGAACCCTCCAAACCTACTTCTCCATCCTACACAAGTGTGCCTGGAATGGTGAGCAATTCAGATAACGCCTATAGACAATCACCATGTCCACTACCCGACTCTCCTAATCTTAATTCCTCATGGAAGCCTCAATCTGTTCCACCGATTTCAACTCTATCGTTTCATCCAGCGTTTACGCCTAATAAAACTGCTGGTCATTCAACAGCTTCTGCTTTAGCCTCTTCATTTACTAATACAAATTCCACACAGAAGGTTGCAAGTTTAACAGGTGAAAAAGAGCCTGCTAATCTCCTTTCAACTGCATCAAATGCTGCATCTTCAATGCGACGTCCAACTGTATCTCCAAGTGAAGAAGGTAATTTTAAAGATATGTCTTTGAATGTATGAATTTCAATTAATGCAAAATAATCTAAAAAGTATTTTCGGTCACATGAGTTAGTTTGCAGGGATCAGATTTATTTCAAGTATAACTAAGAGTCGATATCAGTTGGAGAACTTTTGAAAACCAATGAGTACTGGGTAGCCGCTTCGATCAGAATCTTTGCCCCCAAAGAGAAAAATGAACTCTCAAACCCCTATTTACTAGATCAGTGCTCTACCCAGTGAGTTATTAGAGCACTCTCAATGAGTAACAAACTAGTACGAAACAGGTATCCAGTACACTTTGGTTTTCAATGTTTCTCTAACTGATATTTATCCGTGATCGAAAATGAAACTAGAAATCTTCTTCAGTGAGGTGCCATATTCCGTAAAACTGTGCTAATTAACATTCTGTGGTCACTTTGTTATAACAAAATACAAAACACGGAAGCCAAAAATTTATTTTTTATTAATCAAGCCACTTCATATACATACAGTGCGTCGGTGGCACAGTGGTTAGGACTCTCGCCGACCATGCACATAGTCCGAGGTTCGATCCCCTGCCGACTCACTTTTGATATCTATGGTCGGCCTGCGAAATTTGGGCCAACGATACCCACGCTGAAAATTCCATACTTGTACCAAGAATACAGTGTGGAAGCAAGCTGTAATCAGAAATAAAATTAAAAAATAAAATATTCTTCAACTAATCACTCAGCATGTGATTTTTGTTTACATTAAACGACATGAAGTAATAATTTAAATAATAATTTTTCCTTCACGTTCCCAGTGGAACATAGGACTCCAAGCTAGAGGCTTGAAGTTTCTGTAGCAGTGTTTAGTTTTTACAGGATGGGTTTGCTAGCCTCATGCCCAACCTTTCCTCTTTACCAGCATTATTTCTGGCTTAGCGAGGTAAAGGAGTTCGTCGGCCGGGGATCGAAGCCCAGACCATGTGTATGGTCGGCGAGCGTCCTAACCACTGACGCACAAACGACATGAAATAAAATGTTCAAATATGCATAGTATTCTGTTGCTTATGCCGTACTGTACTGTGAGAATTTGTAAGAATCCTATTCCGTTGGAACATACTGTCTGTATCACACCACCACAAATTTACCCAGTCAACTGAGGAACCCACTGAATGGAGTAAATGTTAGCTTTTTATTCTGTGCATCAGTGGCACAGCGGAAAAAGCGTTCGGCGACCATGTATATGACCCGGTGTTCGATCGCTTGCCGATGCACACCTGATATCACTGGTTGGCCTGCTAAATTTGGGCTGCCGATATCACATGCGGAAAATTCCATTGTTGTATGAAATCAAGCTGTGATGATGATAATAATAATAATAATAATAGGAAGTAAAGATAAACGCAAGATGCAGACAATGAACACTCCTTTATACTCCTCAGATTGTATAGACTGGAAGAAGACCTTATTTCATTAGGCTAAGTCATGATAGAGAATCGCAAAGTCATTTACCATTCATTAAAATATATTTTAAGCGTATTTTCTCAGGCTAGTGTTTGCCAATCTAAATGTTTTGAAGATAAAAAAGTACTTCATGATATATCCTTCTTAAAATATCTAATGGCATTATTGTGCGGCTTACTCATGATTTGGTGAATTAGAATTCTTTGTACATTTATAGGCTCGACTTGCTTATCTGACATTGTGGCAGAATGCTACTATTCGAAGTGTTAGATTGACATCAATTTGTCATAAAGTCAGGCAGATATTCTGAATAAAGTATTTGGACCATTGACATATGTAATACGAAGTACAAGACATTTTGTTAGCTCTACATTTGGGTTAACTGTAGTACCTAAATTTTGATTATTATTATTATTATTGTTACGACTGTTAGGTTATCTTTTTTACTTGTGATGTCAAATTAGTGCTTAGTAGTAATACTATTATCCACCGCTTGCATTGGTGGCACAGCGGTAGAATGCTCGCCAAACACACCTCGGGTAGTTTGGAATTCGCCCCTCAGCCACTGGTGCACTCCTTTACCTAGCTAAGCCAGTAATAAGACTAGTAAAGAGGGAAGGTTTGGCATGAGACTAGCGACCCCATCCCTGTAAAAATAAAAACCACTGCTGCCGAAACTTCAGGTCTCTAGCTTGAAGCCCTATGTTCCACTGGGAACGTAAAGGAATGAACAAAATTTAAAAAATTATAGACCTCTTGAGTTCACAGTGGAGAATAGAAACTAGACGCCACATCCGGTTTATACTCACCTCTATCCCATTAATTCCACCTAACTCCACGAACGCATAAATACACTCATTCCTGCTTTACGTGATCTTCCCAGCACCACACTCAGACGCCTCAATCACCACTTCCCGTTTATATTCCACTCGAGAATATGGCATGTTATAGCACTTGTAGGTGGTTTGCTTAGCCTTTTTTCAATTCAGCTCTATTTTTATTACTGCGTATTTGTTGGACAGTAGATTGTTGACTGGTTCTCTGGTAGAGTTACTTATTGTTTATTCTTCTTGGCCCATAATCTGATCTTAAATTAGTGAATAAAGCATGTTTATATTTCAGTCGACATTAAAATCTCTTCAACTACAAAATAACTACGTCATGGGGGCACAATTTATCGCCAGTTGTCTTTCATCCATATTAAAATCCTCGCTTGCAGGAATTTGACTGACTTTTAATTAGATCGCTAGCTAACATCATTTAAGAAACCAGTGAAGATCATTGAGTATTTGACACCTGTTTCCTCACAGTCTGGCACTCCTCAACCTTCACTTGAGTCATGAAAAACGTACCGTTGAAGAACTCCAAGATGAAATGAAATTTATTATCGGATAAAAACGTTTTTAACTCAGCTACTTAAAATCTAATCATTCGGTATGGAGCAAGAAGTACACGACCTAATAAGTTCAATTCTAAATACTTAAACATACAAACAGTACACAGCAGTAGCTAACCTTCTACGCCACTAATAAGCAAACAGCAAGCTATCTGAACACAGAGTTCACTAAACATACATCTCATAGGTACAGTAACAAACTATTATCTTAAGTATTCCACATGTAATAAGTAAGTTCATAAATTAAAAGTTAGTCTGAACAATGAATATTCTTTTCCGGTGGCACAGTGGTTAGGACTCTCGCTGACCATGCACATGGTCCGGGGTTCGAGCCCTCGCCGACGCACACTTGATATCTATGGTCGGCCTGCGAAATTTGGGATACCGATATCCACGCTGAAAACTCCATACTTCTACCAAAAGTATGGTGTGGGGGTCAAGCTGTAACCAAAAATAAAAAAAAATAAAAAAATTCTCTTCAGCTTCTTACAATTATAAAATAGAATATTTGCTACCGTTCGATTAATGTCCAATTATGCGGAGAATATATCCTTTGAATAGAATACCAGAGTAGTTATATATGTCCAAAAATTTGGGCATTAGGTATATAATATTCATTATTATAAAAGTTTTGGTATTTTCCTATGAATGAAAACCAAAATGATATTGTTTTGCTGACGTTTCGTTATTTAATGCAGCTGCTAATAGCGTAATCAAAGTATTATTAAACCACAATTTACAAAATCTCCTCAGCTTATATATAACAACTTAAACATCATTCCTCGGCATGGTGTCATTTCTGCATTGTCAGATTGACCAATCGGTAAAGATGAGAAATCCAGGTGTATAGATTGTTGGATTTGATCAGTGTGTAAAATTATAAAAGCAGTATGTGTTGACATAATGAAATTGCTCATCAGTCACATTCATGTTGATTTTGTCACCTCATGGAGGAGGGAGGTGTTGTAACCAGATCAAATTCTGTTTCAGTTCATCATTCCTATCCAGAAAATTTTGATTCAATTTGATAGGAAGTACTTCCGATATTAGACGTTCCCTGTGATATCTAAAATTTTTCTGGATTATTTCAATATTGTCAAAATCAATTTTGTGGCCTAATTCTATATAAAGCGTGTAGACGACCTATGGCTGATGATTTTTCAAGCTTTTCTGGTTCAACTGGATTTCGTGGTGGTCGAAAACAGGTGCTCATTCCTTCTGATTTTGATTTTTGTCTGGTGATGTATGTCCGATGTATATTGCATCACATTCCAGGCATCTTATCTTTATAGACACAATTAGATTGAGAACCCTTAGGCAGTTGCTCTTTTACATGGACAATGTTGCTTTGCAGTGTGTGTGTGTCTGATATTTTCAAGAAAACTCTGATGTTTTATTTATTGAGTATTATTGTGATATTACCTGACGTCTCTGATCTATATGGAATGACAACTGTTGAGGTCCATGTCTTCAGAAAGCGTTTTCGACCATAATTAATGTCGGTGTTGATTTTGTTGATCAAGTTCTTTGGGTTGTTATTTTTCTTGAGAGTTTCAATAATTTTCAGGAGTTGGTTTATAAGGATTAAATTTGTTTTTACGACCATTGAAAACCAGGGAGTATTGGACAGCTGTTACATCCTGAAAGTTAATCTGATTCTCGCTAGTAACTTGCTACACGACGGAGTTTCCTAGAGTTCTAATGAGAAGTCCTGGCGCGTAATATCCAACCAATCAAGTGTGAGGATGGATTTCCCACCGATGACATTGGTTGGTGCCAGTCGCTCTAAATCACGAATCGGTAGAAGTTAGAATTCACGGGCTAGCTAGTGAGTCGGGTCCCAGTGGCTGAATGGTATACGAGCCAGCTTGCCTTGTAACCGGAAGGTCTTGGGTTCTATCCCCCAATGGGTGCATACTGTCGATGGTTCCCAAACTAGTCTCAGTAATGTTCGATATTTCTTCTTCTTAATTTTCCTTCCCATCCGTTATCAAAGAGTGTGCTCATCCGAGGGGACCTGAAACAATTGATTAGTTATATCGGGTGATAAAATAAGTCGTAGTATTTGTGTGACAAATGCGCTTAGCTAAATGCAATTACAAAACACTGTGAAATAAGAAGCGATGATGGTTATGAGTCATGATAGATTCATACAATATGGCGAAGGAAAAGCGACCAGTCAGTTCAAGCTTGTGAAAGGTGTTAGATGACTGGCATTAAGGAGGGGATAGTAAGACTGCAATGAAAAATTCACCATAGAATAACCAATCTGTGAAATGAAACAGATTGAGGCATATATTACGAAACGAGAACTATTCTACACATGACATTATTTCTTTTGCCAACTGACACTTGATATGTATATATATATATAATAATAATAATAATTTTTCCTTCACGTTCCCAGTGGAACATAGGGCTCCAAGCTAGTGACTTGAAGTTTCTGTAGCAGTGTTTAATTTTTACAGGATGGGGTCGCTAGCCTCATGCCCAACCTTTCCTCTTTACCAGCATTATTTCTGGCTCGGTGAGGTAAAGGAGTGCGCCGGCCGGGGATCGAACCTCGGACCATATGCATGGTCGGCGAGCGTCCTAACCGCTATACCACCGACGCATAATTCACACCACGATACACCCATTGACTGGGCATTGGTTTTCAGGAGAACCAAACACACGCATCCTTGCCTCTTGCGAGACGAGAACGGCATGCAGGATCAACCTGTGGCGCAACCACTAGAGAGCCCTCTCCCTCGGTGGACCAGTGTATATATATATATTTAACTATGATTATAATCTCAAACATTTTAATCGCGTTTCATACCACTATTATTATTTTATGCACATACTCACACCTTTGTTTCAATCTCCTCACAGGAAGTAATTTCTTAAAAGCCAGCTTAAAAATAAATTCGTTGAAAAGAGTCTCTTCTCTAAATCACTTGCTTTGATTTTCTATATATATCCCCATGGGAATTCTTCACGAATTAAAAAAAGAGATAATATCACTAATCATAAGTCCGAATAGCATAAAAAAAGAAAATTTGATAGTTTTGAAAGAATGCTGGAATGAAGGATATAAATTATAATCAATAATAATTTTCATTGTAATAATAAATTATAGTTAACCAAAAGCAAAAAGAAAATAAGGGACAAGAGAAGGAGACATCCTTTGAGAGATGAAGAAGTTTTAATCCAAGTTCAATCAGGGTAGGCATAGCGCCTGAAAGTGTTCTTTTTGAGGACAAAGTTCTGCATTCAAGTATTGGTTTGGTAGGGAGTTAGTTTGATTGGATGGAGGATTTCATAATGAGCTGACATCATCAGTTAGAGAACCACTAGAAAACCTTGGAATACCTGGGACATCCAGAAGGCCTTGGGTTCGAACCCCGTTCTGAGTGTATTGTTGAAGAGTCCCAAATTAGGAGGAAACAGCTGTCCAGGTTTTCCAGTGGTTATCTAACTGATGTCAGGTCATGATGAAATCCTCCATCCAATCAAAGTTCTGTTTATCACTCAAATACTACTATTTATTTTGTCACCCGTTTTATAACTAATCTGCTATTCTATGTGAAAAAATCTAAACACACCGCATTAGTGGCCATTGGTTAGTTGAACGAAAGGAGATGAAGAGAAATTTCTGAAATAAGTAGTCTTCGGTTGATGTTTGATGGCTGGAGGTAATCGGCCATAGGAAGCCTTGGACATAGGTTTCTTGCTAGTTGGTACTCACCAGTCAGCAAGGCATATCTGCAGTCTTGAAGGAACTCATGTCCTTTCTTAGATTCGAGCCCGGGTCACCCAGTGCTGCCTGCAGTCAGAGACGTCGCCACTGAGTTGTTCAGCCTTCTGGATACTTTCATTGGACACTAATAACTAGTGTGATGTGTCTAGTTCTCCGTTTAGTGCAGACTCAGTTCTATCAGTACGTGGGCTTGCAATGTGGACACCACTCTAGCTAGCTGATTATCGATTTCCTCCAACTATCTGTCATCAACAATTCAAAGTGCAGCCTGATGGCGAGCTTCCTAAAATTGTGGCAACATTGAAAACCTGACTAACGATAGAATTCATTCTGCTCTAAACAGAAGACTAGACACATCACACTAGTTACCAGTGTCCAATGAAAGATTAGTCTTCATTCGGATCGAATTTTAATTCATATTATGTGAATGTTTCACACTATTAAACTTTCTTAAAGTTTTTTATTATAATGTATTCTTTGTTTGTCTGTCTTTTTTTATCTGCAATCCATCAAAGCTCCATTTGGTATCCTCTACTTCACACTATATCATGATACAGCAAATAAACAGCTTCATGTTGCAATACACAAGGCTAAGGTGAGTTGGATAATATCTGCTTCTTTCTGCTTGCTCATTAATTAGTGAATAATCTCCATTCAGGAATTAATGCAAAGAAAACGTAGTTCAGCGAAGAGTCTCTTTTTCGTCTAATTCATTTTCTTAGTTGTACAATAGCAAATATATAAATGCTACTCTGTATATATGTATACATTAAGTTTGTCAAACAAAAATACAATTATATATGCTTATTTTGACTTAACAGGGGAGAATTAGTAAGTTTTGCGTGGAGTTACGTAATACAAAAATGGTCAAGAAAATTGGATGTTAATGAAATTAGGGTAGTAACAAAGGTGATCAATTGTCACAAACAAATTTCATTCTCATGTGCAGTTTGAAAATTGAATCAGTCAAACGAACGATTTCATTCCAACTTCTGAAGACGAGTTACAGAGTTACATCAGTACCTTTGGCGGGGTGACTTATTTGCAGATCTTTGTTATCTCTCAGTTGTTTTAATTCTTCTCAATGCCGCTTTGGTAGGTATTTGTGAACTTTTGCTTTTGTATTCAGGTTTCGGTGGCAGCAGTCGATGATTGTTGCCTTAAATCTCTGTAACTCGTCTTCAGAAGTTGAAGTGAAATCGTTCGTTTGACTGATTCAATTATCAAACTGCATATGAGAATGAAATTTGTTTGTGACAACTCATCACCTTTGTTACTACCCTAATTTCATTAACACCCAATTTTCTTGACCATTTTTTTATAAAGTAACTCCAACCAGAACTTACTAGTTCTCACCTGTTTAGATAAAATAACCATAACCAATTGCATTTTTGTTTGACAAATTTAATGTACACATGCACACAGAGTAACCTATATATACATTTGCTAAGAAAATGAATTAGCCGAAAAAGAGACTCTTCGCTGAACTACGTGTTTTGTTTTATTTACTAATTATTTTATGTTTTTGCCAAGTTTATTTACTCCTCAGAGATCATTCCATGGGGATTAGATCTATTTCAAATTTGATCACTGATTGATATCAATTGGATAACCACTGAGCAACAGAGAACACTAGGCATCTGTTTCCTACCTTTTCCGGAGGAATTAGCAGTATGCACCGACCAACGTCCTAACCCATGACCTTCCAGTTACAAAGGGGATCTTACGTAGACCATTCAGTCACTGAAACCTAATTCAATGTCCCATGAATTCCAAATTCGACCAATTTGTGATTTTAGCGTCACCACTAGCCAGTGTCAGTGGCGAGAGTATTTGTCTACACACCCGACACAATCGTGCCCATGACTTCTTAGCAGAACTCTAGGCGAGCATTAGATTTATTCCCAGCAGTTGGTTTTAAGGGATTTGATGGGTTTCAAGTTTGGTCATTGATTGAAGTCAGTTAGACAACGATTGAAAATTAACAGAGAGTACTGGACAACTGTTCAGCTCCAGTCTGGGACTCATAGGCTTTTACTTCTAAAGTGAAAAAGTCTAGTGATAAATACCATCCTCCGGGTAACTGCTGTAATACCGATGGGGTTTTAATGCTGAATATAATAAGTCCTACTCATAATTGCAGTGTTTTATCAGTTGTCAAAGTAAAAAAGATTCCGCTTCATATATTATTTAGGAAAATGTCACTTTCGGAGAGTAGTTCCACCTACGTACGCTCTTATATTATCCCTTCTTATACACTTATTTAAGTTCCGCATATTCTTTTTCGGCATTCCGATTAAAGGAAAAAAAACGTTTTTACCGAATCGCGTAGGCAAATGTATTGTAGCGATCTGTCATGAGGTGTAATGATCCTTGACGGCACTCATTTGATCTAACCAACAGACAATTGTTCATGCGAATATGTATCTTAGTTCACAAAAAACAGTATTACAGAAGCCAATCTCTATTTTCACATTTAGAATGTCTCATTTATCTGTGTATACGGTGGATATAAAAAAGAAGTGAAATGTCTAAAACTCTATGGTTTGAAGACTAAATATCACTTTCCCAAGAATACTTTATTTGGCTGTTCTGTTATTGAAAGAAGCAGCTAGTACTAAAGGCAAAGATTACCGTTTCGTAATTTTTTTTCCTATTTCCACTTTATTATTATACTGTTTCCTTGAGTTCCGAGTGAAACATGGAGCTCTCACGGCACATCTCCACTATCTACTATTTTCTGCTATCCTCTTCATCTGACTGACCCCACGACTGTCCATTATCTCTCATCTCCTCACCACATGATCTCTTCCGTGTCACCCTCGCACCGACGATTCACTCGTCGCTTCCCATTGAGAATCCACTCGAAAGAGATGGCCTGCATTACGCGTGATGTCATTCGAAGACCTCCTCAGACAGCATATGCACACTCCATCCGTTTCCATTTTTTCGTAGATATCTGTCGGTTGAGCGATCGGCTGTCACGTGTTGGTTTGCTCTCACCAAGAGTTTCTTCTTACTAATTCTTTCTGGCTGGTCGGTTGGCCATTCGATTTCCAGTCTAAAGCCAGCTAGCAATGTGGGCAGCTGTTGATAGGCGTCTATAACGCGCTGAAAATGCTTTCAGTGACTGACACACAGTGCACGTTTCTGACCCGTATAGAAGAAGTGACTGACTGATTTCACATTTTTGTCGAGAACCCTAATCTTGTTTTTTATGCTGATTGAATGAGTGCAGAAGACTTCCAAACTTACTGTTTGTTTAATTGTTCTTCCTCCCTTGGGTTTTGTGTGGAACATAGGGCTTCGGTAGTACATCTGTACTTCACCCTAGTCTCTAGCCTCACGATTTCTCATAAGTTCGCATCCCCCTCTTCGTCACACGATATATTCCATGTCACTATTGGACTCATGGCTAACTCCTCTTTCCGTATATGCGAAGATGTGGCTCGCGATGTCACCTGAGAGTTTCCTCAGCGTGTATCCGATTCACTTCCATTTTGTTCGGAATTCTTGTTCAACAGTGGGTTCTCGATTGATTTGTCCCCAGAGTTTATTACTGATAATTCTTTCTCGTCGGCTATTTCATCTTCATTGCGGAGTCTGAAGTGGCGTGATGAGAACGCTTTACGTGACCAACCATATAGAAGAACTGACTGACTTAACTTTGGTGTTGAAAATCGAAATTTTTTTCTTTGTGCTGATTTTAGAGAATTTTCAAACTGATTTCAGATTGATGAAGATCAAACTTCCGTTTCCGATTTGAATTTGAAGTTCTCATTAGTTTTGACTACCTGTGGTTTGAAGGATGCTGACTACATAAGTGAAGAAAGTGACCACTTTCAAATTTCTCCTGTTGACATTGATTGGTGCTTGTTGTTGTTGATCGATAAGTACGTTGACCACCTTCGTCTTCTTTATATTCCAAATCTTCTAGAGTCTTCGTAACCGGCTAACGTATTCCTAATTTCTCACTGCCCACAGTCTGCCGTATAAGGCAGTCCGTCGCAATCAGGAGCATCACCGGTGACAGGCAGCTAGCCTTGTCTTACTCCTATATTCACTTCGAAAGCTTCTCTGAGTTCTCCTTTGTGGATTACCTGACATTTAACACTGTCATACAGCTATTAAATGAGGTTGGTAAACGTGTGGCTTACTTCACTTCCCAGTGCTGAAGTAATTTCCAAATTAGTTTAGTCACTCGAATTTCAGCCTCTGAGTGGCGTATTCGAATCACATGACATTAACTGAGGTTTACCAAATCGGGCACCATCAACAACATACGCAAACAATCCACAGTAGCACATTGCTGTATACATTTAATTGCAAACTGTTCTTCAGTAAGGCTTCCTCTTGTTGTATTTTGATCCTAATCACTGCCGGTATTGTTACCAACATGGAAAAGTTATACAAATAATAATTTATTCGTAATAATAAATGTTAATGATTACAATATGTGAATAGCCCAGAATGAAATTACTACCGCTAATAAAAATGTACTACGTATGAGTAGAATTATTACAGATACAAACAGATATACGCAATAATGGGATCGACCTTCATAATGCTTTGATATAATGTTACTTCACTCAATATGGCATATAAAAATTCACCGGAAGTATTACCAAAATGAATGAAGTCTACTGTTGCTTGTAAACTGTGTGCCACTAATACACTTAATCAAACTTATTTGATACATTTTTCTTATTGATAACTATTTAAAATATTCATTCAGATTGTGAATATTACTAGTAATATTATGTATGCATAAATGTTGAAGCGTCGACCGCGCATGCGATCCGGGGTTCGATCTCTAGCCACCGACGCACTCCTTTACCTTGCTGAGTCAGTAGTAAGACTGGTAAAGAGTGGAGGTTGAACATGAGGCTAGCAACCCCATACAGTAAAAGTAAACACCACTGCCGCTGAAACTTCAGGCTTCTAGCTTGAAGCCCTGTGTTTCATTGGGAACGTACAGGAATAATAGTAATATGATAAACCAAAGGAAGGTTGAATCATTCAAAAGTACGTTACTTTGCAAGAACTGAACTGGTCTCAAGTTTGACACTAGTGTGATGCCAAAATTAGACAAAAGATATGTCTATTGCTCCGTGATTTCCACTAGTTCTCTGACTGAAATCCGCTTGTGATCCGGCTTGGAACCAGTCAGATCCCTGCGTACAAACACATGAAAACCAATTCACTAATCACTGGTGATTGACTATACGATAAGGCTGTCTAGAGTTGTAGTATGACGTCCTTACCAGAGTCCACCAAGTCAAGTATGAGGACAGACACTCGTGGATAACACTGACTCGAAGTGGCGCAGTATGCTGTGAGTAGACAGATGTCAGAATCCACGAGCCATTGGATTCCGTGTCAGTGACTGAAGGGTCAAAGAAGTCACCATGTAACCTGAAGGGTTTACTCCTTGGTAAGAAAATCTGCACCTAATGCTAGAGAGTCCCAATGAAGGACAAAATGAATGTCCAGTACCCATCGGTGTCAATCCATGAGCAGACTTGAAACCAACCAAATCCAATAAAACAACACTTAATATTTATTTATGTTAGGATTTTATGATATCCCTGATGAATTCAGTCGTGCCTGTTTCATCTATCTGTCACTTTATTCCTACTTCTTTGCTTAGAATTTAATTGCAATGGATGCTAACGGTCTATCAGATCCTTATGTTGTTTGTCAGCTTCTGCCTACTAGTCATAATAGTCCTGCACCACGTACTTCTACAAGACCACAATGTTTAAATCCTGTCTGGAATGAAGCATTGACCTTCGAACCATTTGATGGGAAAAATATTAATACAAAAACATTGAGGTAGGTTATCTGTTAATTTGTTCTTCCCCTTTTTTAATTTTTTCGCTTGACTTTAGCTAATTACTACTTATTGCTTCCTATAAGTAAACTAAAGTGAAGTAGCAATTGCTTTCAAATTTTGAGTTCTTAAGAATTCACATTAGTTTCAATATATATTTAGGTCGCTAGCTGACATTGTCTCAGTAAGTAGCAGTCGTAGCGGTGCGCACTCATGAACTCATCACAGAACCTATCCTAGTATTTTCAGTTTGAAAGATGTTCGCGATAATCGTTCAGCTCATGATGTGAAATCAGATGGCACTCGAATTTCAGCTTCTGTCAATTCTCAAAATAACATCACCGTCAACTAATGCCATTGATGAGCGTTCTCGTCACAAACAATATAAATCCCACAGCGTGACTTCTCAGAATATTCTTTGTGTAGTCGATGCTCAGTTTTACTTCACTTTAAACTAACGCCAATGAAAAAATGCTATCTATGTGCCTCCAAGTTTATTTTCTGTGTTCTGCTGTAAGATTCTAAATAGCTCATGTATGGATAACGGAAATCATGGAATAATATTCATGCTTTCATGCTGAACATAACAAAGTAAGAAAAGACGAAACTCTAGCTAACCAAATTATTGAAAAAAATGAAAGATGAATCAATTAACGGTAAAGAACTGTATGAACACCTTCGCCATAGCCACGAATGTACGGACTACCCAAAGCGCACAAAAAGGACGTCCCACTCCACCCAGTGTTAGATATGATTAATTCGCCAGATCACAAAATCGCGAAGTGGCTGGTAGAAATTCTAGGACCAATGAAAGAAGAGCTGTCGAAATATAACCTCCGTGTCACACTTGGTTTGGTCGATTCAATTAAAAATGTCAACCTCGCATATAAAAAAAGGGTCTCCCTAAACGTCGTCTCTCTCTTCACCAATGTTCCACTGACAGAAACGATGTGATTTCTGTGTGATTTCGTCCGATGCAACAGCATAGATGTCGGCATACCTATCCATTATCTTAAGGAGCTGTTTATATGTTGTACCTTCAACGTCTACTTCAGACTCAACGATGAAATTTGCAGGCAAACAGACGGCGTACCAATGAGCTCTCCACTGGGACCCCTCTCGGCCGAATGTTTTATGGACAGCCTCGAAAACAACTTGTCATCGACTGTCACTGACCTCCATGATTAAAAGAGATACATTGATAATACCTTCATCATTTGTGATGAGAACCTGGATCCTGAAAACTAACTTCAAACCTTCAACAATGCCCACTAAAACAACCACTTTGCTCTTGAAGTTGAATCCGCTGGAATGTTCCACTTCCTTGACGTCCATCTGACAATTAAAGAAGAACGTAAATGTGTATTTTGTTCAGTGACAGAGCATCTGGTCAACTCAGGATATTCAGCACCATTCGAGAAACCCTTCAAAATCATATGCAAGATTCTATCAAACCTATCAAAGGGAGTAAAATCAAGACAACTGGGCGTAGCCGAGACACTAGCCAACCGAAAATTCAAACTCACACGATGTATCCAAAAGAAATACGCCCAACCCTTGTCCCTGCCATGGCTGTTAGAAAGAAGGAATTCTTTTAATAGTGACTATCTCATTACCTCTCCTATCCAAACTTCCTTTTTATTCGTGTTATTTTTAAGTTTTTCTCAACCCTGGTTTACACTACAATATTTTCATATCCGAACTTCCTGTTACTTTTGTCATTTTATTATTTTTACATATTTAATCCTTAATTACATAAACAATAATTCGTCACATTATTTATGATCCCACTAGATTTTTTATATAACCATCTTGTCTATTTTGTTATTTCTACTTTTCTAACCCATAATTGCACAATGTATCAATCCTCTCGGAAATTGTGCTGCTACTTCGTTTGAATTTTATCCGCTGCCTCCCCTGTTTATTATGGCACTTTAATTCCTAATTGTAATTGTAATAATATGACCTTTGACCGGAAATCATTCTGGAAGTTTCCCACCCATTTATTATAAAAACAGGAATATAAAGCCTAGTTGATGACTTCGTCGAAAGGAAAATTTTCCCCGCTGCATCTGTCTTTTTATTATTCCTCATGATCAAATGTGTATATTTCGTGAAGTAGGACTATAAAGAATCCAGACAAGATTGAAATCCACCTGAGTTGATTTTACTGCCACCAAAAGTTGGAAAGGATTATGTTCTTGACTATGAGACATGACTGCTCTTGATGCATATGGATACTCAACAGGATTCATATGGTAGGATAAATGTGAATTTCAGTGAATTCAGTGGGTGTTTTTCAGTAGTTCTTGAGGTTCATGTCGGTTACCGAATAAATCTGTCAACTGGTAATAAGCTTCAAAGTTTAGCGAAAGGCTAGTTAACTAGTAGAATCAAAGCTCTTATCTGGTGGGAACAATACATAACCGAAGCGTATTGCCCACTGACAATCATCAGTAAGGCATACTTGCAATCACTCAATTCCCTAGACAAAACGTTTTTTCAGTAAACCAACAGGTATGGAGTCAGCATGCAAATTGACTGATGGAAATCAATAAAGAGGAATGCTTTTTAAGCATGGTAATACAAAATTAAGCGTAAATTGCTTCTTGTCTCCTGAGGCATGATATTTATTCGTGAATGTTTCATTGCTAAGCTTCTCCTTTCACTAGAACGTCAGAAGAGAAACACCAACTGATTTTCCTATGTGCTAAGAGATTGCACAATGAAACTCTCAAAAAAAAACAGTGAGAACAAGAATTTCAAAATATCTGAACCACATATTGAAGCAGAGGTTGACAACGATTAAACTCACTATAACTCTCAGTATAAAACCTCAAGTGAAAAGTGAAAGAACAAAAGAGAGAAAGAGGAAGATAAACTGATTAAACTATCTGAGGCGATAGAAAAACGTTTAGAAGGATATGTGGGTGAGTAAGCCAAATTTGGGAACAATCACTATCTACGAGTTGATCACGGATTGATATCAGTTAGAGAACCATTGAAAACCAGGGAGTACTGGACAGCTGCTGTTTCGTCCTAGTTTGGGAATCATCGGTAGTACGCACCCACTGGGTCAATTAGATGTCACGTGTGTGGATGGATGTCCCACCAACGACAATGGTTGGGGTCGCGCTAAATCACGAATTCGTAGAAGTTAGAATTCACGAGCCATTGAATCGGGTCCCAGTGACTGAATGGTATACGAGCCAGCTTGCCTTGTAACCGGAAGGTCCTGGGTTCGAAACCCAGTGGGTGTGTACTGCCGATGATTCCCAAACTAGGATGAAACAGCAGCTGTCCAGTACTCCCTGGTTTTCAATGGTTCTCTAACTGATATCAATCCGTGATCAACCCGTAAAACATAACTAATCCTTACAAACCAAAACTATAGAAATCACTATCTAAATCAAAGGACAATATTCTCTAAACAGTGTTGAACTACAACACTGCAAACGCAGATATGCTACATTTCTGTGCATCAATAGAATCTTCAGTGAACCCTCAAGACTGACTATGGAAAAAAATAGGGTAGGAAACTTGCACAATTAGTTGTTCCACTGGGAAGGAATATGCAAAATGCCTGGAAAGAGTTAGAAAAAATTACAAATGAAGAATAAATTCAGATAGTGATGTATAGGCTAAGGCTACTCGAAATACATAGGACAGATATTTCAGTGTAACTACTGGCTTTAATTTGTGAATGATTCTTTATCAACCTCATTCAGCAGCGTCGGTGGCACAGTGGTTGGACTGTCGCCGACCATACACATGGTCCGAGGTTCGATCCCCCGCCGACGTACACCTGATATCTATGGTCGGCCGGCAAAATTTGGGCCACCGATATCCATGCTGAAAATTCCATACTTGTACCAAAAATACGTGTGGAATCAAGCTGTAATCAAAAATAAAATAAAAATTCATACGACAGTGCCAAGTGTCAGGTGACCCACAACTTAAAACTCAGCGAGGCGTTCGAAATGCATAAAGGAGTAGGACAAAGACTGCCTATTATCCCCCATGATATTCTTAATTGTGGTGGACTGCATTATGCGTCAGACTGTGTATAAAAGCGGGGAGACAGGAATTCGCCAGACCACGAATAATAAGGCTCTAGAAGATCTGGATTTCGCAGATGATATATGTTTAATGTCACACAAACTGGAAGACTCAGAGGCAGGCGGAAACCAACAAAGTGGATGAAGAAGCAGCGAATAAAGGACTCTAAGTGATCATAGAGGAGAAGGAGGTGATGAAGGTAACCAACCAACAGCAGCAACACTAACCAGCACCAACATCATCAGTGGGGGAGAGATTTAATAGAGGTTGCCTCCTTCACTTACCTGGGAAGGATCTTTTAAACTGCAGGCGGAACAGACGAAGGTTTTGGAATTTAGAAAGGCAAGATATGCCTTCATCAACCTGAAACCAGTTTGAAATCTTCTACATTCAGCATTAGGAACAAGATTCGAATTTTCACATCAAATGTGAAGTCAGTCAGTCACTTCTTCTATACGGGTCAAAAACCCGCACTGCATGTTATTCATGAAAAGCATTTCCAACATGTTGCCGACTTTTATCAACAGCTAGCCACTTCGCTGACTAGCCCCTTACTGAAGTCAAATAGCCTGCCGGCTGGCCAGAAATAATTAGCAACCCAAAACGCTGGTTGGCGACGAATCAACCAAGAGCCGATTGCTTAACCGACAAAGCTTTTGAAGAAAATGAAGATGGATGGATTAGACATACGCCGGCTAAGGAGACCATCGAATGACATCGTACACAGTGCATGCCATCGCTGGAATGGAATCTCAATAGAAAGTGACTAGGATGTGGTCGGTGAGAGGGTGGCATGGAGGAAATGAGAGGTTATGGGCAATCCTGGTTTCAATCAAGTGAAGAGGATAGCAGGAAATAAAACAAAGTGGAGATGTGCTGTGGGCACCCTATGTTCCACATAGAAGTTAAAGGGGATTATAATAATACGCTTCAGAAATATTTTATACAACAGGTATAAACAGTACCCCTCTTTTGATAGTCTATGCTTTCTCCGTTCTACTTAACTGGGATTCCATTGGCTTAGTATTTTTTGCAAATACTTTATGCAATACTCAGCTGTTCAACATCGACTGAATAACATATCAGTTTTATATACAACCAAAATGCCGGATTCAGTGATTTTAGTTTATAATTTAAAAATACACCTTATAGCCTATTGTCAGGTTATCATGAAATTTTATCGCATAACTGTCAGCTATGATGTTGACTTTACATTCCATTGTGTTCTTGTATAATCTGTGAAACAATTAGAAAGATAGAGGACAAAAGTGAATAGTACCATCCAAACTACGATGAATGATTCTTTTGTAATCTTTTGAAATGTAAATAACAAAAAGTCATTGTTTTTTTTTTTATCAAAGAAGGCTGAAAGCTAGGCCATTTAGGTATTTTATATCTATATTAGGAATTGATTGCTTTCATCTAATTGTTTTTGTTCCAAGTATACTCATTGATTGATATCATTGAGAACCACTGAAAACCCAGAAGTACTAGACACCATCATTGTACTAAGGAATGAACGCAGTTTACAAGGAGAACTCGCTAACCACTGAGTCACTAGGACGGATTCCAAAGACCAGCCAAGAATGGTGGCATATAATGCCACTGCTAGCCAGTATCATCGAAGAGTATCTCTTGTAACATCTGACCTGGTAAACCTCATTATTTGCAACTTCTCCCTGGAACTCCAGGCAGCTTTGTCCTACGTTATGTCCCCTATATGTTCATGGGTGTCACTAATAAGAAATGCGAAACTAAGTTGAAATAGCTGTCCAATACTCCCTGGTATTCAATGATTCTTTAACTGATATCTATCAGCGGTCAAATTCGGTATCAGTTAAATCCCCCAAATCAATACTTAAAAATCAGTATTATGCGTCACTCATTTTCATTGTTATCTTTCCACAAATTGCAGAGTATATATTACTGTCAATGAGACTAAATTATGACACTCATGTGTTGGTTTTAGGGATTCGATCATGATGCTTATGAAGTGAATTTAGTTATAGAATCATAGAAGACCGAAAAACACTAAATTTCACTTTATTACTAGTTTGGGACTATTCATCAGCACGCATCAATCAACCTACCGGGGGATAAAACTCGGTAGTTGTGGGGGTTACCATTCTTCCACTGAGACGGAATGTAGTCACTTATTAATTCTAAAATTCTATCAGTTCGCGATTGTAGCGTGACTGCCAGCCGATTTTATTAGTGAGTATTTGTCCTGATATCCGACGCAGTGGGACCCATTGATAACGACTTCTCAGTGACTGCATGATTAGTGAACTTGTCTGATAACCACCTAAAAGTCCTCGGTTCAATTCCCAGTGGGATCATAGGCGAGTAGTGTTGAACAACCCCGAACTAAGAGGAAACAGCTGTTCAGTAATCCATGGTTTTCAGCGTTTCCTTGACTGATATCAATCCATAATCAAACATGAAAGTGAAGTTTTGTCAATTTAAACTCAACGAATTGAATGCATTTCTGGAGAAAATATAAAAAAGTGAAATCTAAACGAATTAAAATAAATATTTGTAAGATTTCATCCTACCATCACAAGGATACATCGATATGCAGTCTGATTTATATAATTTGCCGGTGTTATTTATCCTATAGAGGAGATTGTAGTCTGTTGTATAAACAATATTTTGGCTGTCTACATAGGTACTGACACAATCTCACGTTTGGATTACAGGTGACTGTTTGATTTCTTTAGAGACTTAGAATCATATTACGATACCACTAGTCTAACCAAAATGGTTAGTCAATTTCTGAATGTTTGAAATGAAGCCTTCCAGGGTGAATTGCTGAGAAGACAAATCGTTAACAATAAGAAATGTTTGCATTAATCCTGTCTGTTGGGCATGAGTCATTTCATTGACTACTTTCCGTTTTGAAGCATACTTCGCGTCGTATATCAGAAATATTGCACTGTATGACTGAAACTACTGTCGACCAACATAATGATGAAATCCTGAAACCAATCAAATCCTACAAACCAACACTTGAATACCAATGAATGCTCGCTGGCGAATGGCCTATTCAGGTAGGTAGTTACCTGGGTTCCAGTGGGAAGTCGTGACCATTAGGGTGCAGCGGGTCGGGTGTGAGGACAAATACTCGCCGAAGACATTAGCTAGCGGTCACGCTATGTCGTGAGTTGACAGAAGTTAGAATTCAAGGACCATTGGATCGGGTCCCAGTGGCTTAATGGTACATGAGCTGGCTAGCCTTGTAACCGGAAGGTCCTGGGTTCGAACCCTAGTGGTGGGTATGTACTGATGAAGAGTCCCAAACTAGGGACGAAACAGCTGTCCAGTACTCCCTGTGGTGGTTTTCCAATGGTTCTCTAACTAATGTCAGCTCACGATGAAATCCTGAAACCAATCAAATCCCTACAAACAAACACTTGAATAATGAATTCTGTTTAAATAATCGTTTCCACTGTTTCACATAAACGGGAGTAGATATTTTTGTACTATACATTTCATCAATGAAATTTATGTACGACTTCGTAACCGTTTTCTTCCTTTCTAAACCTATTTATCCCATTTTCAGATTAGCTGTCTTAGATGAAGATTTATACGGTTCCGACTGGCTTGGAGAATATCGTTTACAATTATCCCAATTAATCCCTAATCGTTTGACGGACTTTGCTGTCCCATTAGGTCCACGTAAACCGGTAAGTTCAATGTACTCAATACTTCACTGAGGAGACAGTAAAACAGATTGTTGAGTCAAGGATTTATTCTTTTTTTTGATGACTTCTTGCTCAGGTTTAGTAATCTCGTGTACTTTTTAAATGATATGGTTCGACAAAATTATTTATTTATTTTTGAATGAAACTGTACTGTTTTTTTTTGAAAAGCTGTTTTGGTGAAACATATTTCAGATTATCTAATCACACATGTATCTCATATATGAATAAAAATAAAACACGTAGTTCAGGGAAGAGTTTCTTTTCGGTTTCAAATTCATTCATTTGGCTGTACAATAGTAATTATATATACTTATCTTTCTATGTGTGTATATATTAGGCTTGTCCGATAAAAATGAAAATTAGTTAGGGTTATTGTTGTCTAGATATTTCAAAAATGTGATGCATAGTCGAACTGTAACTAATGTGTGTGAAGATTGATGGGAGGGTGTTGATGATATGTTGTCAAAAACATAGTTATTAATCCAATTCTTATAAACCTGCTTTTGAAAATTAATCCGATGCTCACTAGTAACTGGCTAAAGGACGAAGTTTCCTGGAGTTCTAGTGAGAAGTCGTGACCAGTGAGGTCAATTCAGTTGGAAGTGATGGTGGAGTTCCTGCCGAGGACATTGGTTGGTGGTCGTGCTAAAATTACGAAATGGTAGAAGTTAGAATTCGTGGGCTGACCATTGAATAGGGTCACAGTGTCTAAATGGTATACGAGCTTGCCTTCTGATCATAAGGTAAAGGGTTTCGAACCCCACTTTAGTGGGTGTGTACTGCTGATGATTCCCAAACTAGGATGAAACAGCTGGTTGTCCAATACTGCTTTTCAATGGTGCGCTAACTGATATCAGTCCGTGGTCATATAAAAGAAGTTGAATAAAAGTAATGCAGTTGCGTGATAAAATGAGTGATTTGTGGTTAGGATGCACATAGAAACAAAGGAGAATATGGAATTATGTAAAAGCTCTAAAAGTGATCTACTAAGTGAGGAAATACCTACCAAAAACAACATGCTTTCTTCTCTTTTAGATTGCTGAAGCATTGACTATTCAGTTGGAAAAACCAGAGTTATGCATACAAAAGAAAATTATTCAGCCACTTGTAATAACTTGGTAACAATCGCGCTGACTTCTACTGACTTGATATTTGTGTGCTTTGTTGATATTAGATGGTTGAAGTCAGTTGGCCACAGGAAGCCTTCGACCTAGGTTCCGTGCTAGTCGGCACTCACCAGTTAGCAAGGCGTATCTGCAACTACCTTGAAGGAACTCATGTCATTTCTGATATTTGAACCCACACCATCCAGTGCTGCCAGCAGTCACAGACGTTGCCATTGAGCTATTCAGGATCGCGATTAACCTCCTGTAGGAGTGTATTAGATACTTTTGACTTGACATTAGTTAGTGGCTAGTGTCCAATCAAAAATTTGTGTTCAAGTGTTGGTTTGTAGGGATTTGAATGGTTTCAGGATTTCATCACGAGCTGACATTAGTTAGAGAACCATTGGAAAACCACCACAGGGAGTACTGGACAGCTATTTCGTCCTAGTTCGGGACTCTTCATCAGTACATACCCACCACTAGGGTTCGAACCCAGGACCTTTCTGTTACAAGGCTAGCCAGCTTATATACCATTAAGCCACTGGGACCCGATCCAATGGTCCTTGAATTCTAACTTCTGTCAACTCACGACATAGCGTGACCGCTAGCCAATGTCTTCGGAGAGTATTTGTCCTCACACCCGACCCGCTGCACCCTAATGGTCACGACTTCCCACTGGGTGTGAGGACAAATAATCTCCGAAGACATTGGCTAGCGGTCACGCTATGTCGTGAATTGACAGAAGTTAGAATTCAAGGACCATTGGATCGGGTCCCAGTGGCTTAATGGTACATGAGCTGGCTAGCCTTGTAACCGGAAGGTCCTGGGTTCGAACCCTAGTGGTGGGTATGTACTGATGAAGAGTCCCAAACTAGGCTGACGAAACAGCTGTCCAGTACTCCCTGTGGTGGTTTTCCAATGGTTCTCTAACTAATGTCAGCTCATGATGAAATCCTGGAACCAAAAATTTGTGTGTTTGTTTTGTTCCGCTTTTTTTCTAACTCCTGATAACATTTGCAATTTTCAGAACTCTTACATAACTCCATATTTTTCGTTTTTTTTTCTATATGCATCCTAATCACAACTCACTCATTAAACTATTCATCTTATTACGTAACTGCATTACACTTATTCAGTTGCGTTTATGTGTTGATTAACATTAATAACTATGTATTTTGACAACACATCACCACTACACCCTTACAAATCTCCAACCCCACCCCGCAAGTTACAATTTGATTATTCATCAAAGTTTTGGAATGTCTTGACAATAATAATTTATTTTTATTCAAATTACATGTGAGAAATAGATGATGGGAAGATCAGGTACATTCCCAGATTTGAACATTGGAATATACTATTATGGAGACATAGGATGAGTGAAATGTCGTTAATATAGTAGACTGGGGAATTTTCTCCGCTGAATTCTTTGTTTTTACCTTTATTCTTATCAGGCAAGCCTTATATACACAAAAATAAGTATATATAATTGCGACTGTACAGCTGACTGAATGAATTCGCCATCGAAAAGAGACTCTTCACTGAACACCATGTTCTATTTTTCATTAAAGTGTGGTTTGGGATTATTCATGAATTTTTCATTCATGTTATGAAGTTAGTTTTAAAGTTTCACATATCCATCTGAAGCACGAGTTTTTTGAATGAACTGCAACTTCGAAAATGTTCTTCCAACTCTTTCGACAGTATATATACATATAGCAAAATTTACTTATGCGTGTACATTACAATGAAGAAATTTTACGAGGACATTATAATGGCAGTCATTTTTCAATAGCATGTTACATTTTCATATATATTTTGAACATTGAAGTTCAAGGCGGAGCCTAGAGCTTTTTAATTATTATTCCCTTGGGTTCCAAGTGGAATATACGGCTTCAACAGCACATCTGCATTTTGTTCTGCTCTCTGCAGTCCTCTTTGGTTGACTTTATTACCGCCTACGGGCCTTCGTCTCCTCCATGTTTTCCTCGGACCAACATCCATCCAACTCATTGTTTATCATTTAGGTATGTTCAATAGATCCCCATTTCCCACAGCATATTTCTTGAGCAGTAGGTTCTTGATTGGTTCACTTCCAGAGTTTCTTGTTGATGATCACTTTTTTGAAATCTGGTCGTCAGTATATAGCCATAGAAAAGAGCTCTTCATAGAAGTCTGCATTAGCCTTTTAGAAATGCTTTCCGTGACATGGGCGTCAAGCATCTGACTCATACAGAAGAAGTGACTGACTAAACATTGGTTTTGAAAATGTGAATTTCGTTGTTTATTGTAACTGACCGCAGCAGATTTCCAAAGTGATTTCAGAGTGATTAAGTCCTGTCTGTCTAGGCTTTCTGATTCTGACTTTGATATCCTCATCTGTGCTAGTGAAAAATATCACTAAGATAAATGGGTGTTTTCCAAAACAAATCTATAAATCGTGTAACTTCTGAACCAACAACTCCTAGATTGACAGTCACCAGACTGATCTTATATCATAATTTAAACAAAATTCGCTAAATCTGCGACCTGGTGACCCTTGAGTTAGCTCAAAGTTTCAACAACTTCATAGCTTTCCGATGCATAACTTCGAAAATGTAAAATGAAGAAGTTGCAGTAATACATATCCATGATGGTATATATTACTAGCTCATATGAGTAGTTTGAAACCACTCTTGACACAGCTAGTCAGCTGTGTACCTGATTTGACTCAGCCAAAACGACCAAACCCGTTTCACTCAGTCATATTCTTGCTAGATACCTTGGCGAACTAGCAGCTCGTAGAATCAAACTAGCTGTTTGCAAATTACATAAATTCGGATCACTTCATAGGGTCCAAGTTGATATCATTTAGAGAACTACTGGAAAGCCGTAGAATACTGGACAACTGCAACTCTTCAGCAGTACGCACCAATCAGAGCTCTAGCTAAGTACCTTCAGGTTACAAGGAAAGCTCATAGACCATTCAGACACTCTAAAGGATCTGAATATTTTCAGCTGTGAAAGGAAACCGTGGTGAACCTACGCTCTAAACTGTCTAATGTACAAATAGCGAATTGGATTCTAATGGTCAAATCATCACATAAACATTTCACTTTTCAAAATATACTCTTTATCAGGTACAGCGTGGTGAATATGATCTTGCCTGTCCAACACGTGGAAAAATTCAACTTGGTCTTGGTTACTTAGAAGACCGCAAACAATTATACGTTGAAGTAATTCGGTGCGCTGATCTTGCTCCCATGGATCCCAATGGTTTCTCTGATCCTTTCGTAAAACTGTAAGTCTTCTTGTTTATTTTCTAACTGCTTTGTAGGCAAAATAAAGTGTCGTTCAACATTTTGGTGGTTGAGAATCGCGATTTAGATTCAAGTCATTCGATAATTCGAAGCAGTGGATCCTAGGTTATTCACCAGTCACTTTATGATCAGGTTTAAGGGTTCGCTCCTAGTATAGAGAAATCTCAGTGACGTAAATGATATCAGGACCTGTTTAACACCTTTGTTTCGTAGCTCATTTATCAGAAGAATGAGGTTCTTACTTCCTCATCTAGTCATAACGCTTTCTCCTGAAAGTGATTTGAACTAATAAGAATGCCTAGTAATGCAATAGTTTAACCAAGAAATTCAGAAAATGATATCGGGTGTTTATTTTGTTTTTACCGACTTAATTATTCGTAGTAGGAATTAGAGCATTAATATCACAGAACGTTTGACTTATTTGTATCGAATTACCATACATAAGCATATTTCAAGTTAATTGGTGGATGGTGACTAGCAGTGGAATCCAGGACAAGGCGCATTTCGTCCTATTTAGGACTCGTCAACTGGATTAACTTGCATTCCCAATCAGTGAGTGATGATGTTCCCACTGAGGCTCGAACCCAGTGACCATAGTTTCAAACGCCAAAGCGTTATCCACTAGACCACTTGAACCATGAGAGCCACCTCTTGTGCAACGGGTCATATAAATTAATTCACTGAATTTTAAATATTTTGATTTGACACTAGTAACTAGTGTGATGCGTCTAGTCCTCTCATTGGTGCAGACTGAATTCTATCAGTCAGATTGTAATGCGGCCATCATTCTAGGTACCTCGCCATCACGGTGCACATTGGTTAGATATTCCAGTCACTTGATTGGACCGAAGTGCTCTGTCTCAGGTTGACATGTCGGCTTCTTGTTCAGATGCTTCAACGATGTCTGACTAAGTAATTAGAAGATCTCCTTTATGTCACCCTCGGATCAATTTTCAATTCGTCATTTCTCACTCGGATTCCACCCAAGCTCAGGTCTGGAGATTCATGTCATTCAGCCGTCTCCTCACTGTTTGTCCAGTCCATCTCCATTTTCCTCGGAATATTTCTTGAACAATGGGTTCTCCAATAATTCGTTCCCAGAACTTCTGGCCGGATATCTGATCTTCAATATAGGGCCAGTGAAGGCAGCTGTTGGTAAAAGTCTGCAGTAGCCTGTTAGAAATGCTTTCAGTGACACGCAAAGCTGACCATATAGAAGCACTTAATTAAAAATTCTATTGAATATCCGAATTTCGTGATTTTTGTTGAGTGCAGGAGACTGTCGAACAGATTTCAGAGTGGTAAATGTCTGACTCGCCTTTCCGATTCTGGTCTTGACATCCTCACTCTTACTGTAAGCCTTAGTTGAAACGATGCTTCCCAGATAAATAAAGAAAGTGACCTCTTTCAAATTTCTTCTGTTGATAGTGACTGGTATTTGTTGTTGTTGTTGTTGACTTATTATCTTCATCACCCTCGATTTATGCGCGTTCCCTTGAAGTTCTGTCTTTGTTGCTTCTTTTGCCAGTTTATTAGTCTTCGCCTGTAAGTTTTCAAATTTATGTGATATTATGCAGAAATCATCTGTAAAGTCGAGATTTCCAACAGTCTTCTTATCGGTCCGAAGTATTCCCGTTTTCTGGCTTCCTAGAGTCTCCCTCATGATTCAATCCACTATAGATGTAGGATTTTTCCACAGTTTTCTCTGATAGCTAAGATACGCCTCAAATATTGCTTTTGAACGACGTAGATAATGTCAAGTAGAGCAAAACATTGAAGAGATGATGTACGCCACCAAATTATATCCACCAGTAATAAACAGCTATCAATTATCAATACATAATACTTTGAAACTCTGTCAGTATGCGGAACAATGAGTGATTAATAATGCTGACTTATTTAACAGCCCCAAGACCTAGTACTGTCATTACCATTTTAAGACAGGAAGGCTTATAAACTTTGAGGCTTTCATTTTATTACTTTGTGGTTATCAAAGATTAAAAATAAAAGCCACCAATCACACTGTATACTCAAGTTATCTTACCAGAAGTAAACAAGATTTCTAAAGCTCAGAGATTTTTGAATTTGGCACCCAGTCGAAATGTCATAAATAGGTTGAAAGTCTAAGTTACTGGTTTATATAATTGCTAGCATTAAAATTCAGGGAGTTCATTTCATCGTATTTAGGACTCATTAACTGGATATACCTACACCTTTTAAAACCGGAAGCTGGATGCCATCGTTTCAGGCGCCAAGGTTTTAGGCATAAAGCAACTGGACCACCAGCAAACAAGTAACTTTGAGTTTATAATAACATTCCAAGAAACAGCTAGCTGATCACATATAAAAGTATGCCACTAATCAGTATTGTCTGCATAATTCCGCGGAGGAGCAACACATACGAATGAATAGATTAAAAAGGCATTTAGAGTGAGAACCATCCCAAAAGCATCAAGCGTATGGTTTGTCAAAACAAGCTGCATTTAGTGTCCGTCTGATGTCAACTTAACTTTCCAATTCATATACCCTTCCTTTACACATCACTAGACGAAACAATAATATTCCTAAAAATTGAGATTTTACGGCATATAAGAAATGACCAACTCACTTTTTATGGGAGGGATTTAATTTGTCCCTGACATAAAATTTAAACATATTTTTATTCAAAATAAAAAAGCAAAAAAAAGGGAAAATATTTATCCCATCTAGGTCGACGATGAATGAATGACTTTTGTTAAAATTTGACCCGAAATTTTCGCATAAGCGGAATGAATGCCCAACTTATAAATAGATTTCCTTATATATATATATATATATATATATATATATGAATTATAATCCTGATTTATTGGAAATCAATGAACTTTGAAATATTCACCTGAAAGTTTAAGAGTAAACAATAGTCACCTTCTGTAGAAGTGAAGTAATGAGTTTTATGTTATTATCATGTGTCTTGAGGTAGAAAGGTGAATAGAACATGAATCAGATTATGATTTCACTCGAGTCTTCCCCGTGACCAGCTTTGTCATGTCACTAAATTCCGTGGTACCTTTAAACTTGCATTTTTAAGTCCATCAGTACTAACCGTACGGAGCTATGCCCCACTGTTGTTAGACATTCAACTTACAGTCACTGTGTCACAGCTTCATACCACGCCCCATCTATCTAAGTCTAAGCTGGTAGATATTATCAGTGGTCCTTACACACACACACACACACACATCCACAAGCATTAGGTGTGGCTCATCGCCATGTGGCTGCATATGCTAATGGTTATTGAGTGACTGTCCTTAGGCATAATTCAAATACAGTCAATAATAAATGCATTTCAGTACTTTTTAAGATTAGGAATGAGATGAATATCCATAGGCGTTAGGATTTGTAAAAAGAAGAGACGCCGGTGAAGATTTTCTTTTTTTAAATATACCAATCTTGAGGTGAACAATCTCATATATACATATAATACGTTGTCATGGTAACAAAAGCAGGCTTTTCTAAGAAATGTGATTAAAATTCTTTTAAGTTTAAGATAGTAATCAAGCCATTCTAAAGAAAACTCCACGGAAACTCAATCAAAGTTAGACAGATTGATTGAGGGATTGTAATTGACAGAAATGAGTACAGTCCAATGAAAATAACTAACCCAAACTAACAATAAGTGCCAATCACTACCAACGTGAAAAATTTGAAACTGGTCACTTCCTATGTTTATCCAAACAGCACTGTTTCACCTACAGGCACATAGAATGGATGAGGGTGTTAAAACTACGGTGGCAAGGCAAGAAAGAATTTCATGACACTAAAATCGGTTTTGTAAATCTTCTGCATCAAATATAAAGAGTATCATTTGGATTTTCAACATCAATATTCATTTGGAAAATCTTCGCCGAAGGCGTTACGAAAACCATTTCTAACAGGCCACTTCAGGCCATCATCACCAGCTGCGCATTCTGACTGCATGCTGATGATCGTTGATATTAGAGGGTTGAAGTCAATTGGCCACAGGAAGCCTTCGACCTAGGTTCCGTGCTAGTCGGCACTCGCCAGTTAGCAAGGCGTATCTGCAACTACCTTGAAGGAACTCATGTCATTTCTGAAATTCGAACCTGCGTCACCCAGTGCTGCCAGCAGTCAGAGACGTTGTCACTGAGCTATTCAGGCTCTCGATCGACCTCCTGTAGGAGTGTACCGGATATTTTTTATTGGACACTAGTGAGTAAATGGTATGATGTGTCTAGTCCTATTTTCGGTGCAATGTGGCCACCATGCTAGCTGGCTTGCCGTCACGGTGTACATTGGTTTGATGATATTAGGTGGTAACGTCTCTGGCTGCAGGCGGCTCTGGGTGACGCGGGGAAATGAGTTCTTTCGAAGTTTCAGGTACGCCTTGCTGATGAATGCCAGCTAGCACGAAACCTAGGTTTAGTCAAGGCTTCCTGTGGCCGATTGCCTGCAACCGTATAATACCAGCAATTCATAGTGCACCATGATGGCGAGCGACTTAGCATGGTGACCACATTGCAAGCTTGACTGATAGAATTCAGTCTGCACCGAAGATAGGACTAGACACATTACATTAGTTACTAGCTAGTGTCCAATCAAAAATACTGAAGATCGGATTGTAAGCCAACAAAAATTAGCAACAGGGACCCTGAGAACGAACCAAACAAGAAACTCCTGCTAAAGAAATATCCCGAGGAAAATCGAGATGGATAGGAGGTACACTGAAGAGGCCATCGGGTGATACCACGCTCCAGGCCATCGTTCAAATGGAACTTGAATGACAAACGACGAGTTGGACGCGGGTTCGAGGGTGACATGACAGCAATCGTGAGACATTTAAAGAACACAACAAAAGGAAGAAGTGGAGATGTGCTTTTGAATCCCTACGTTCCACTCGTAACCTGAGGGATTATTCATAAATGAAAATCGATTGAAAATTTAAAGAAGAAGCTCAAGCCAAGAACAATGTCTTCAGAATAACAGGTATTATAATAGTGGGAAAAGACAGAATACAATAAAATATTGTCATTTTAAATTAAAGTTTAAAAACATCTCTAAATTCAACCTCCTCTTGAGTACAAGTAATCACAGACTTTAGAAAAATAGTTTATCTACACTGTATTACCAAATAGACACTGATAACCGTGAGCACAATGAATAAGACGTCAACAGATTTCAGTATGATAAAACTGGAGATATCCACACTATTAAAATGTATAAATCAAGACATTCTATGCTCAGAAGGAAATAGTGGACACTCTGAAGTTATCTGTCTGCCCTTAATGTCAGCAAACGAAAATCTACTCATCTCATAGACTACGTAGGCTGCTTACACTAGATTGCTAGCATGATGGCTACATGCCTCCAGACATGTTCTATGATTGGTAGGTTCTGATTCGCCGATATTAGGCGCGATTAGTTAATTATGCCTCATATTCGTTGTGTTGCATATATTATAATGATGACCACTTGTCATTTAGATTATTTTTTTGGTTTAAA